TGCTTTAAAGCCTGGTGCTGATTTTTCTTCAGTGGAAATAAAAGTTCTAGCAGGCATGCACTTCCAGAAAAGCCCAGTTTCATCAACATTGTACACTTGTTCTGGTGTGTAACCTCCTTCAGAAATAATTTTCTTCAGCTCAGCAGGATATTTCTTAGCAGAATCTGTATCAGCACTGGCAGTTTCACAGCTCATTTTGATGTTGTGTAAATTAAGGCACTTCTTAAACCTTTCAAACCAGCCTTTACTAGCCAGAAAAGGTTTAACCTCAGAAGATGCACCTTCCTCTTCCTGCAAATCATTATATAAACTGATGGCTTTCTGTTGAATAACCATAGTGTTTAGTGGCACATTGTGTTTAGTCTGATCTTCAATCCAGACACTCAGGAGTCGTTCCATAGTTAGCATCACATCACTTCGATGAAAATACAAGGTTCGAGCAGTTAATGGAGTAGCAGCTTGAGCACTTGACCTAATTTTGTCCTTATTATTCCGGATTGTTCCCACTGTTGAAGTAGCAAGACCTAATGTTTTTGCAATCTGGCTAAGTTTTTCTCCAGCATCAAACCTTCTTAAAACGTCAAGTTTAATATCCAATGTAATGCCTTTGCAGCTTCTTTTTGCACTACTGCGGTCACTTCCACTTGATGGCCTCTTTCCAGTGGTCCCTCGGTTAACGAACACAATTCGTTCCAGAAGGTCGTTTGTTAACCGAAACCATTGTTTCAATGGGATATTGGGTAATTGGTTCCAGCTCACAGAAAAATACAGTACAGTTGTACCCCACTTAACGCGGTCAATTGAACCCAGAGGGTCCCGTGTTAAGTGAAATCCGCGTTAAGTGAACAACAGAACATATGGGATTAATTCCAATAGAAACCGGCCCGACCCCCAAACTCCACTTTTTGAAGGCACATACCTATGTTGTAGTAAAAATAACATCTTAATTTTATGATGGTACATGCACACAATTAATACTTAAGAGAAATAGAGAAATACAGTCGCCAAGTTAATGTCCATTCAAATAATGGACTCAACTCCCTCCCCCTCTCACACTACACTGCTCTTGGGGGAAAACCACTAAATTTTAATAAATAATACCTCAAACTAAAGTTAGGATAATACAATTGACATTGCTGGATTCCTTGTAAGACCAGGAATATTTTGAATATAAATGTCATATATTTTGGACAAAAGATAACATAGTTACCTAGAGAACAATTTTTATCTAAAAATTGTATGTTTAATGCAAAATATATGTTGTTTATATTCAAAATGATCACCAAATTATAAGAATTCCAGCAATGTAAATTATATTCTGACCGGGTAATTTGTATGAATTTTATGAGCTAAAACAAATATCTTCAGTTAATAAAAAAAAAAAAAATCTTCTTCAACACTATCTGTCAATCAAAGTACCCCACCTTGCCTCCCCCCCTCTTCCAACCGCGCGGTCAGTCCCAACCCTCCCCCCACCCCCCACCAATCCTCCCTTCCAGAGTTTATAACATTTAGTATTAAATAATACCTCAGATTAAAGTTAGGATAATATAATTGACATTGCTGGATTCCTTGTAAGACCAGGAATATTTTGAATATAAATGTCATATATTTTGGACAAAAGATAACATAGTTACCTAGAGAACAATTTTTATCTAAAAATTGTATGTTTAATGCAAAATATATGTTGTTTATATTCAAAATGATCACCAAATTATAAGAATTCCAGCAATGTAAATTATATTCTGACCGGGTAATTTGTATGAATTTTATGAGCTAAAACAAATATCTTCAGTTAATAAAAAAAAAAATAATTCTTCACAGGGTAACAGATGGTCGGTTGGTCCCTCCCTCCCCCCCACCCCCCACCAACCGTCCCAAGGAGATGTGTGGGATAACCACTAAATTTTAATAAATAATACCTCAAACTAAAGTTAGGATAATATAATTGACATTGCTGGATTCCTTGTAAGACCAGGAATATTTTGAATATAAATGTCATATATTTTGGACAAAAGATAACATAGTTACCTAGAGAAATATTTTTATCTAAAAATTGTATGTTTAATGCAAAATATATGTTGTTTATATTCAAAATGATCACCAAATTATAAGAATTCCAGCAATGTAAATTATATTCTGGCCGGGTAATTTGTATGAATTTTATGAGCTAAAACAGGCAGTCAGGCAGGGTGGCGGGTGGGGCAAATCTAAAAATAGCATCCGAGCCGGACACTCACCGCGTAGCTGTGGAAAAAACCCGCGTTAAGTGAAAGTTCAGCTTTGGCAAGGCACCGCGTATATGCGAAAAGGCGTTAAGTGAAAGCGCGTTAAGCGGGGTAAAACTGTATATACAAAGTAAAGCCAGAATATAATTTACAATGCTGGAATTCTTATAAGATAGTGATTAATTTGAATATAAACAAGCTAAAATTTGCATGAGACATACAAATTTTAGATCTAATTTAAGAATTTTATTAGGGAGAGCAAAAATTTTATCTTTTGTGCAAAATGTATGACGTTTATATTCAAATTATTCCCTGTCTTGCAAAGATTTTAGTAATGCAAATTATATTATCCTAACTTTAGTCTGAGGTATTATTTATTTCTAAACCTGTAAACCTAGTCTTTTTCCCCAAACGATTCTCAGGAAGGTGGGGGGTATGGGGGTAAGGAGGGAGGGAGGGAGGCACGGGTGACAGTGACATGTTTGACAGTTGGTGCCTGTGGTGTGAAGTATTTAATTGTTAATTTATGTCCTTTAGATTGAGTTTTTGTTTTTTGCTTATAAAATTTAATAGAAGTGACTGGGGTGAATTTAATTTACATTGCTGGAATTTTTATAAGATAGTGATTAGTTTAAATGTAAACATAGAAGAGATCACTGAATTGGCTGAGTACCTCCTCAGCTTATCAGCTGATGTTCAAAACAAAATGTGATTTTCGTAAGGATTTCGTTAATTGATTTTTTTTTGTTAACCGAATTGAAGATTCTTATGGAAGGTAATTCGTTAACCTAAACAAATTAGGAATTATGGTGAGATTGCATAAAGATGACTTAAAGTAGTCCTGGGAGAGGTAGCCACTCACCTGCATTACCTGCTGCTCCCACATGTGTACATTCACCTCCCAGTTTCTTTCTCATTCATAAGGCACATGAGCACATTGAAATTACTTTTTTGCAAATTCTGTGTTTACCAGTACAGTACAGTACAGTACGTACTTACATATAACACTTTACTGTACAAAACAGCGATAACAGTGAAAACAGTTGTTGACAAGCAGACTTATGTCTGATTTTCTTGAAGCAGTCCAGAGAAGTAGCCTCCCCCCCCTTTGATTTGCCTTTTCTGGACCGGGGTCTGCCACAATTAGCGCAGTGTATCGAGGTATAACTACACAGGTTGTACCTCTCTAGTCCGGCAACCTCGGGACCTAACCGGTGCCGGACCATGGAAATTCACCCTTTTCCTGGATAGAGTGACTTGTGCTTATGCTTGGAAGCACTAGCACCACTTTCTCTGCTTCATGGTCTCTTTGAAGACATATTGAAGGGTTAAATGTCGTACAGTAGCTTCTCAAATTTCGCGAGTTTTTAATTCGACGTTTTTTATTTGAACACACCAAAAAACAAAACAATTTAAAATTTTGACAGCGGAAACTCGAATTTCGACGTGTTTGAACGGCCCACCAACGTTCAGACGACGTGCACAATCATGTAAACAGCGTCATTTCTCTTATGTACAAAAGATTCATTATTGTTTATTACTGAATGTCTTTTTGATTGAATTAATGTTTATGTGTGCAAAATGGGCAATACAATTCATTAATAATCCGTAGAATATTAAAACACACAAGGAAATGAGACAGCATTGTTTTCGTTGATTGCAAAACCAGTGACTGACTGGTTCTACATATAAAACTGAAGAAAATAAGATCCTGGTTGTAGCTGTAGTAAAATTAATATGGTTGTTTTAAGTAATGTTATTTAATGTTAATAAATGGAACAATAGAAGTAGCTAACGATAATGGTAAAGCAAAAAAGGGAGATCACGTATGTAAGTGCGCACATGTGAAAACATATCGTCATTACTCTATATAAGAATATGAAAGCAACACTAATTTACCGTTCATATATATTTTAATTAATGTTTCTGAATTTTTTTTATTTAATTAATATTTGTGTGTGCAAAATGAACAATACAATTCAGTCCGCCAATACATTAATCGGTTCTAGGGCTTAAATTCCTTACTATTTTAGTAAATATCAAGAAGTTTATACTATTCAATAATTTTAAAAGTTTAATATTAACTTTTTTAGTCATTTTAACAATTATTGAACATAATTGAAGGTAAAGAAACTAGTTTCTGGCGTGCCATCCAGCCTGTTAACACACCAGACAGGCGTTAGTCTCTCTGTTTTCAGTGGAGGTAACATCTTGCTTGAGACTCTCTTCAACTAAACGCTTTTTTTCTGTGTTTCCAAGCAAATTATTGGTCATTTTGAAATATATTTTACATATTGACAATATATAATGCAGTGCAGTGTTGATTTAAAGAAAATAATCTTGAAATACACCAAGAGCACTAAAATTTTATGGGTGAAATGGTGCCATGGGGTGACTTCTCTTCCACCCCAATGCCTTTTCTTCTTCCTTCTCCTCCACCCCCATTCTAATTCCCATCATCATCATCATCATCCAGGAGCCTTCTACGTACACACCTCAAAGTAAGCGTACTTTTCTACCGTTTTTGTTGAATTTAGGCAATTTTCGGTGAGCTGGAACCAATTACCCAAAAACCCATTGAAACAATGGTTTCGGTTAACGAGCAACCTGCTGGAACGGATTGTGCTCGTTAACCGAGGGACCACTGTATTAGCATATCAATACAATATAGTTTAAATAAAAGTTTTCATTTCATTCCTGGAAAAACTATTATGAAATTTCAGCAATCTATATTAAGTAATACTGTATTCAATATGTTCTAAGAAAACTCACAGGAGAGCAGCTAGGTCGAAGTTTCCTTCAAATACAGCTGAAAAAGCCCATTTGGTTACAACCTTCTCCAGTATTTCTTCATTATAGCTCAAACGACACTTGGTTATGGCTAGTGCTTCCCGGTAGTGCCGATGCTCCAGCAGAATATTAACAGCTTGTTCAACCTTCCGAAAAACAATGAAGAAAATATCAAACAAAAAACCAGACTTGTTATACATGACTAGGTGCAATATGTAAATCCTCCATTAAACATAAGTTAGTCTCATCAGCTGTCACATATTATGACTTCCAACATACACTGACCTTATCCTTAAATTTAATAACCCTAAGTTAGATTGATGTTGACACAACTGGCACATGTGTTTATGTATGGTCATATGTAGGATGTATATTGCTTTTGTAATCTAAGAAAGTCTGTGTGCATTTCATTTAAGTCATTCATGGAGAATAAGCTTATTTGCTTAGATATGCTGATATGAGTTAAGCTAAAGTTATTATTATTTTTTACACTTTTACAACTCCTTTTTTGTTACTGAGTTAAGAAGCCAGAACTAAGAAGAACAAAGGTTCCCTCATTTGCTGTTATTTGTCCTTTCAGTAAGTTTATTGCACTGACATAAATTATGATTTACCTTACTGATGTTTACTAGATATGATACACCGGTGATAACATCCCCTTCATCCACGAGTTGTTCTGCATAGGCCTCACATGCCAACTCCCACAACCTAAGACCATAATAATACTATTAATGTGTTTTTAAAGAGAGCAATGAGCAATGACAAGGTAGAATGCAGACAGTAACCCCTTAGGGATAATGGGTCTCTCTGTGCTAAAAGAATCATCTGACATCTGTCAAATAAAATATTAGAAATTATATCCAGCAATGAAGGAGCAAAACAAAATTTGGAAAGAGGTGTTAGGTTTGTTTGATGACTGAAGAGTCAATGATAAAGAGGCAAGAGAACTGAGCAAAAGAAAAGTGGATAAGAATTTTAGTAAGAGGAAGACTACTGTAGTAACTTTTTTTTTTTATTATTATCCTAAAAGGAGATAAAGACAAGACTAAAGGTAAGTGCCAGAAAGGAATGTAAATGTACAGTTAATAAAAAATAATATATTTTTATAAAATATATAATCTTATTTTTATTATTAAATATATACTGTACCCTGTCTTTAATGGGGATACTGTACAGTGGTGTAATGAGATTTGATATAGGCCTAACAAGGGCTACAAGATGACACTTGAGGTATAAACATGCTTGAGGTGGGGGGAGGGGACTGACCGATGCAATGATCACAAGTTTTTTTATTTGTTCATTGTTATACATTATTCTCGTATGATCACCCTATTATGGTGTATGTTTCATCATAAATAATATAATACACAGAATTAAGTAATATAAAAAAATACAATATATACTTTGACTTCAAATAAAATGACAATCGGAATCAGAAGCGAATTTCTTCCCTTTCGGTAGTGGTGGTGGTGGGGGGGGACTATTTCGTTGCTGCGTTCACGATTGTTTTTGATTTATTCATTATATTCTCGTATGACCAGCCTCTTATGGTGTATGTTTCATCATTAATAATATAAAATATTAAATAACAGAAAAACATATGCCAGGTGTGTGTGACATGACAATGTATGTAATAAGTTATTTCTGTAAACTGTATATCTTCAGCCTTCTGGCTGTTAAATTTTTCAATAAACCATTAATTATTATTATTATAGACCTCAAGCTTCCTAGCATCCCACATCAGTGACCATCACTACCCTAGAAAACCCCCATCCGCCACCACCCTCCCGCTCCCCTGCACTTCACTACAGTGACCATCGCTACCTCACACTACACGCACCCACCACCACCCTGTCTCCCCCGCACCCTGTTCCTCTTTCCCCTCCCGAGATCACACACTAATTAACATGGACGTACAGTATATGTTTATATTTTTGTTTCTGACCTTATGATAATCATATACAGCTAGACCCCGACTTACGACTGCTTCGACTTACGACCGTCGGGACTTACGACCGCCGCAGTTGTGACCATTTTTTTTTTTTCTCTCTCTTTCCAAATGACACACGCATTTTCTATACCGAAACATTTCCAGTTAATGTAGTCTCCATGTATAATTAGAAAATTATGGGGGCCCCATATGCATTCAGCTGACTAAATTAAAGGTAAGTGCTCAGTTACACTGTATTCATTCCTCATTATTTATTACTTTCACTGTACTGTATCCATTCCTCATTATTTATTACTTTTACTGTACTGCATTTCATTGTAGATTTTTTATTAAAAATTTTTTTTTTTTTTTTATATCTATGTCGGACTTACGACCTGGATTTGGGTCCCTAACCCCGTCGTAAGTCGGGGTCTAGCTGTATTTTATTTAATTTTTTTGCACATTCTGTATGAGCAATTGTGTGCATGTAACAGATTAAAAGAAATTGAATAAAAATACATACATCTACTCAAAATTATGAGTTGAAAAAAAGCAACAATACAACTCAAAGGTTGGCCTAGTAAGGGTGAAGCTGGCCTTACGTAGGAATATGAAACCTGTGGCTAGCCTGCCTGGTTTGAAATATTACTGTAGGGTATAATAATGTATCATAATTTTTTATTTGCGAATAAGTAGTGTATGCTTAACGAATAATGAATAGGGGTGTTAAAATATCAAACGCAGATAAGCAGGGCTGCGGTTATCAGGGTTGTGAATACAGGTGCTCCTCTACTTAAGAACGTTCAACTTACAAACTTTCAGAGATACAAACATCATCACTGAGGGGGGTTACCTGCCAGAACAGGTGTTTAATGTGGATGAGACTGGATTATTTTAAAGAAAATTCCAGAAAGAACAAACATTACCTAAGAGGAGAAGAGTGAGCCAGGTTTTAAGGCTGTCTTAAAGGGTATAGCTGTACTAAATATCCATAATCTTTTAATTTTTTACAATATGTTTGGTATCTACAAGAGTAAAGTTGGACTTACAAACAAGCTTCAGGAACGTAACTCGTTCGTAAGTAGAGGAGCACCTGTAGTATGGTATTCCTGTACAGTAAAACCTTGATAATTCAGCATGTATGGGGCTCTGTCTTTGCCGTATTATCACATATACAACACTTACCAGCACTGCAGGTAAAGAATGAAGTATTGTAGTAGGTGAGAGGCATGGCAGGTGACATAGGTAATGAAGGAGAAATGCAACATAAACAGTAAAGTGCAGCACTTATGTATACAACTGTAATTTGGTCACTAATACAAAAGAAAGAAATGTTAACAAAAGTAATTGTTTTCTCTACATATAATTCATGTCTGAGTATGTAAATAAGCACGTAGCTTATATCACTAAGGATATTATAGTCCACCCTAGTAAAACCGTTTGCTTTATTACAGAGCAAATGAGTAAAAATTAAAATACAGGTAGTCCCTGACTTACGACCACATGGACTTAAGTCCATTGGTACTTACCACCTGCTCTGACCGTACGTCCGTCAGGCCATACGACAGCGACTGTCGTGACCAAAAATATTTTCAAATGACGCGCGCATTTTCTATACCGAAACGTTTCCGTCCCGGGCGAGAGGGTGGCGTGTCTCGGGTCGCCTCGTCGGTACACTCACTCAGTGGAGAGCTTAGTTGGTATTTGGCTATCGTATTTTATACTGATCGCGCTGTGAACTTTCGTTATTATCGTATTTAATTGACTTTATAATGACTGGAAAGCGTAAAAGTGAGAGTGCTGGTGGTGTTCCAAAGAAAAGGAGACAGGCAATTACCTAGGTTTCTCACACTCGACTATATCCACTATTCTGAAGGACAAGGAACGTATTTGTGAAGTAGTGAATGGAACAACACCTATAAAGGGAACTATAATATCAAAGAGAAGACAAGGTCCTATTCAGGATATGGAAAAATTATTGGTGATATGGATAGAAGACCAGATACAGAAGCATGTACCCTTTAGCCTTCTAACCATACAGGCTAAAGCAAGAAGCCTGTTTCAAAGCCTGAAGGAGCAGGCAGGAGATGAATGTGATCAAACCTTTACAGGAAGTCATGGGTGGTTTGATAGATTTAAAAAACGCTACAGTCTACACAATGTTAAGGTGAGTGGAGAGACAGCTAGTGCCGATGTTGGTGCTGCCGAAACTTTTAAGGAGGAGTTAGATGATGTGATTGTGGAAGGGAATTATTTGCCTGAGCAAATATTCAATGTGGATGAGACTGGATTATTGTGGAAGCGCATGCCTGAGCGGACATACATCCACAAAGAGGCGAAAACAATGCCCGGATTCAAGGCATTCAAGGACAGAATTACACTTCTCTTGGGGGGGAATGTTGCTGGTTTCAAGCTAAGGCCCTTCATGATCTATCATTCAGAGAACACCAGGGCTTTTAAACATGTCAGCAAGCACACACTGCCAGTGTTTTATCGCAGTAATAAGAGAGCCTGGATGACCCTAGTACTGTTTGAGGATTGGTTTATGACTTGTTTCATTCCACGAGCCAAGGAGTATTTTCTGCAACAACAGATTCCATTCAAGATTTTACTGATTTTGGATAATGCTCCAGGACACCCACCACACCTGGACGACATGCACCCTGATGTTAAGGTAGTGTACATTCCACCTAACACTACCTCTAACATCCAACCCATGGATCAAGGTGCTATTGCTGCCTTTAAAGCGTATTATTTACGCACGACCTTCGCTCAGGCTGTTGCTGCTACTGAAGGTGAGAAAACGCTCAGAAAGTTTTGGAAGGAGTACAACATTTTGTCATGTATAAAGAACATTAGTGCAGCATGGGATCAGGTTACAAAACATTGCATGAATGGAATATGGAAGAAAATCCTGAAAGATATGTGTTCAAAGGATTTAATGAAAATGAAGTTATTTCGGATATTAGTAACAAGATAGTGGAGTTAGGTAAACAGCTGGAGTTAGAAATTGATAATGAAGATGTTGGACAGTTGGTTGAAAGTGTAGCAGAAGAGCTCAGTAACAAGGATCTTATTGAACTAGATGCACAGAAAATTGCAGAGGAAGAAGAGAGACAAAATGTAGAAGAAGAACCTGCACCCCCCAAAAAGTTTTCAGTGAAACAAATGGCAGAGGCAATTGCTACAATTAATAAAGCAATGCAAATGTTTGATGGCATGGATCAAAATTATGAGCGTTATGCCAAAGTTGACAGAATGATCCAAGATGCACTTGCTTGCTACAGAGAAATTTATAATGAAAAGAAAAAGCAAACTGTGCAGTCTAAATTGGACATCTATTTCAAGAAGTCCCCCAGTGCTGTCTCCTCACGCCCCACCAGTGCTGCCTCTTCACTCCCTCAAGATGATCCAATACCTTCAACCAGCAAGTTTCCACAGCACATAAACCTGTCTGAAGAAAGCGACATTGATGACCCACCCAGCCCTGTCTCCTCTTCTGCTTCTTCCAAATAATATAGTCTCCATGTATCCTGTAAATAGAAAATTATGGGGGGCCCTGTGTGCATTCAGCTGACTACATTTAAGGTAAGTACTCAGTCACATTGTATCCATTCCTCATTATTTATTGCTTTTACTGTACTGTATCCATTCCTCATCATTTATTACATTTAGTGTACTGTATTTCATTGTAGATTTAATAAAAAAAAAAAAAAAATTTTTTTTTTTTTTTTTGAAATTCTTTTATTTTTATTTTTCATCTATGTCGGACTTACGACCATGTCGGACTTACGACCTGGATTTGGGTCCCTAACCCCGTCGTAAGTCGGGGAGCACCTACTCTAATGTAGCTTAGAAATACAGAAAATATAATATAAAACTATAAAATGAGAAAAATGAGAATAGGTGTGTGTAATAATAATAATAATAATAATTAACGGTTTATTGAAAGAGCTTGGCAGCCAGAAGGCTGTGTGTGTGTGTGTGTGTGTGTGTGTGTGTGTGTGTGTGTGTGTGTGAGGTGATTATATGTGAAGGCAGTGAGCTGTATTGCCTGGCTGACTCACCCGCCTCCCTCCCTTCCATGTGACGTCAAGGCAGACACGCACACACAAATGTCTCAGTCAGCTGGTTGACTGCCTGGCTGAACTGTGGCTATTGTATTTTATGATATACTATGTATCAATTTTATTGTTTATCACAGCAATTTTTTTTAAAAAGCGATTATAGCGCTACTGGTGTCAGACAACACGAATAAATTACTTCAGTTGCTTTTGGATTGTTGGACTAAATTAGAATTTTTACCAAAGGGGACAAAGTTGGGATACCTGGAAGATTCAGATAGTTGGAATAAAGATAAAATGAATTGCACTGTAAATTAAATAAAGCCAATGACAGTGGATTTACCATAATAGTGGAGACATTCTGCATACAGTGGCTGGCCTGATATGAATGGGTGAGGTTGTTGGGTGTTAATGGGTTTATACAACAGGAACCAAATTTTACCAGGGAGTGCTGAATATTAATTCTGGTGCCCTTGATACTCTGTGGTACAATGTGTAGTACTTTATACCCAAAATATTGGGGTGCTACAGCTCCCTCCCTTCCCACGTCCATGTACTGGGTAGAGTGAGCCAGCACGCATCCGACCACAACAACAATAAATACCAGACTGACCAAGCATGGAGCGCAGCGAGTGTTACCCACGCGGCCAAATATGCCAAGATTTTCCCAGATAATTTTATATAACTCGGCATTTCCTGAGTTATACGTGGCGAATTATGAGATATCGAATGCCGAGTTATCAAGGGCTTACTGTACTTATAAAAACACTTTACAGCACATTGCATCATATGGACAGAGGGGCAGTATTCTGCTGTTTACACATGATGGCTGCAAGTTTGAATACGTGAAATATCACTTTATAACTTTTAGCTTTTACTTTTACCTTTATCCTCTTCACCACTGATCGGTTCTTTAATTGCTTGGGTGGTCAGTCACCTCTCTCTTATGCACTGTTGGCAAGTGCTGGGCAAGCACTGGCTCCTGAATACATCTGAACCTGCTCCAGTGTTGGTCAAGTCTGGTCTTGAAAGAGCTCACAGTCAGTGCCGTCACAACACTCTCTGGCAGATTGTTCCAAGAGTTCACAACTCTCACTCCGAAAGTTTGCCCTCACAGTTTTCTGGACTTGTGGCTTCTTCAACCTTGAGCATCTCCCAGCTCAAGGTATGGGCACTCGACTGAATAGTGTCCTCTGAGATGCTTATACACCTCAAATTAGGTCACCCCTTGCCTGTCTGCAGTATAAGCTAGGCAGTTGCAGGCAGCGCTGATGGCTCTCCTTTGAACATTTTCAATTAACTGACAGTCCATAGCATATCTTGGGGACCAGAAGGGGTAAATACTCAAAAACACTTTACAGTCACTTTGCAGGTGAATATTATTGCACAATGGTGAGCATGAGTGTGTGAAACGGATAGCAAGATACAATTTTTAAATCTCTAGTGCAGAGTACTTTCCAGCTTGCCTGCAGAGAAAAAAATTATGACTTTACTGTGCTGCTCATTGGCCATTTACCATTTAGCCAATTGGATATGGATTACCATGAGAGAAGAGGCCTATAGTAATGATGCACCAAAATCTCAGTCAATAGAAATTACCTGATTTATGATTATTTTCTTTTCTTAACTGACGCATTTTAGTCAGTGCCAATTGAACGAGATTATTATTGACTTTAATTCATGACATGATGCACAAGAGTGTTCATGTCTTCCCAGTTGGGTAAATACATGAAAAGAAAGTAAGTATGGTTGACTGTGGAACGAAATTCAAACATGATGACATAATTGAAAGTGAGTTATTTATTATAAGAGATGATGATATGCTGTTAGTTGAGCATGAGGGAGGGTGAAAGATAATGGTAGTATATACTGTATTTAAGATGCTTGTAGGAGGATAATTTTAAAAGTAAGTACAGTACTGAAAATAGTACAGTAATGGTATTCGAAAGGAAATGACAATGTAAGTGTAATGTCACTATCAAAGGAAAAGACATAGAGGTGGTGAATCAACATCACCATCATTACTATTTTACAGCCTTGTGTGGGCTAGGTGAATTCAAGTACAGGTACTTGGAAATACTGTAAGTATTATACAAAGGGTGAAAAAGAAAAGAAAAAAAGAGTAAATGAGCAATATAAGGAAGAACAGGTGGGGCCCTGAGGGCATTAATGAATATGAAGTGTACAGTGTGCCAAGAGACCATACAGAAATGTGCAATACTCCAACTTTTTCATGTAGATGTTAAACTCAGAGTGTTTCAGAGTATGGATAAATCAAATTAGAAAGAAATTAGAGACGAATAAACTAAGAAATTATGGGGATCAGATAATTGTTAGAGTAAGGAGTAAGATGCAAGAAGATTGTGCGATGTCAGAAAGTCTTTTGAGATGACTATGCACTAAGCTGGCATGGGCAAATAAATTACAAGTTTAGTTTAAAATATTTATGACAACATGGGTGAAGGCATGATGGTGAGATGAAGACCAAGAAAGAGACAGGGCAAAATATTTAGGTAAATTACCATACCCAGTTTTTTACCTTTTAATGCAACACCCTACGATCTCACCATTCTTGTTCTGTACTAGAGTAGTGCTCTCTTTCTTAATTTACCTACAATACTGAAGCAAGTAATTTCACATCTTTAAAGAACACTTGTTGATACAGGTTTCTAGTAAATTTACTTGGAATCACATAAATGTTTTATGAAGAAGATACAATTACTTAAGTTCTTCAAGGCACTTTCTATTCTCTTAGGTAATCATCAACTAATCAACATTAGTGGACGTAATAAGTAATTGTTTAGGGTTCTAGTAATAAATAACTTTTTACTCTTGAGGAAATAATTAGTTTTATATTGTTCCAGAACTACCCATGATTTTGAAAATATTCCAAGTTATCCATAATGCATAAGTTATAAGTTGTCTAAACAATGTAAAACTAGAATTTTTTACCAAAGCAAACATTATTTGATAAACAAGGGTGTGAATTAATGAAATGTTATTCTTGAACTAGGCAGTGTAAATTTTCCTGGAAGTGTTGGGTCACATGACTTCAAATGGCTTCATCCAACCAATTAATTATATGCTTCATCTCTTTTCTCTGAATCTTCCAAACTCTCTCTCTCATACATACACCTATGTACATTCATAAAAAAAAATAACAGTAGCATTAATGTGAACTAACTTCATTGAAACCTGTGGTGCAGATGCCACCAAAAAGGGGTTAAGCTTCTTATGTCTGGCAGCAGAGCGAATGTGATCATCCAGAGATCCTCTCCAGCAGTGCATCTGTCCAGCTTGCATTATGTTACCAAGTCCATTATGATTATCAACTGAAGAAAAATACAAAACACTTTTTTATACAGTGAATAAAAACTTAATCATATCATTAAAACATTATCAGATATATCAATGCAGAAACTGGTTGTTAAGTGTCTACTACAGTATGGATTTTAACTATTGTAATACTAATACCTCCCCCTCACAAGGTGTAGGGCCAAATGGATTAAGTTCTTCTACCACACTGTCTGCTGGAATTGTCCAAAGACCCTATTCAGTGTATCCTGGAATTGAATATGGGCATGCTAGCATGCTAACCACTACACTATCAAAATTTTATTCCTTACTATGATATTATGCAATTTCACCATAATTCCCATATTATTTAGGTTCATTTGATACCGGATTAATAAAACATTTTCATTAAGTAATTAATGAAAAAAAAAAAAAACACTCAACCCCAGAAGAGTTATTGTGTGGTATTAAATTCCTGGTTATCTGTTTACTTAGTTTGGTCACAGCCAGCCCACCACCTGCTATTGTGATATTGTTGTACAGGCGTAACCGACAGATGATTATGTGAAAGGAAGGAGCTGTTTATCTAAATATACAGCTACATTTTGTAAAATAACCACAGTATGTATTACTGCATTTTTTGTGTATTATGTATAATGTTTAGTGTTTATTAACCCTTTGAGGCCCTGAGGGTTAATCCATCGTCATCAAAGGGTTAAGCCATCGTCGAAAGGTTAATCCATCATCCTCATAGGGTTAAACCATCGCCATTAAAAGGTTAATCCATCGTCATCAAAGGTTAATCCATCGTCATCAAAGGGTTAAACCATCGTCACCAAAAGGTTAAGCCATCGTCGAAGGGTTAATCCATCGTCCTCATAGGGTTAAACCATCGCCATTAAAGGGTTAATCCATCGTCATCAAAGGGGTAATCCATCGTCCTCATAGGGTTAAACCATCGCCATTAAAGGGTTAATCCATCATCATCAAAGGGGTAATCCATCGTCCTCATAGGGTTAAACCATCGGCATTAAAGGGTTAATCCATCGTCATCAAAGGGGTAATCCATTGTCCTCAGAGGGTTAAACCATCGTCAAAGGGTTAATCCACTGTCCTCATAGGGTTAAACCATCGTTGAAGGGTTAACCCATCGTCATCAAAGGGTTAAAGCAGTTTTGGAACAGTCTACAATTCACAATTTGATAATTCACCATGTCTTCTGGTACCTAACCCATGAATTATTGAGACTCCACTGTATCCACTTTCTAAGAGAATGATAATTTACCAATCTCACAGATCTTGATTCATTACACTTGTGTCCCATCCAGCCCTACTTAAGAAGGGAAAGCCCAAACCCTACTATTTTATAATATACTGTATTCCTTTTAGCCCCTACTTTAAAATTAAATGAGAAGCCTGAAATTTACTACAGTATAAAAAGTAGAAACTGAAAAAAGAAGAAGGTAGTTTGAGATAAATTACTTTCAGTAGCCATAAGACAATCCATTTGGTGAGGGTTTCCATACAAGTTGAGAGCATAGGCAAAGTCCTCTGGGCTGGCCATTTCAGATTCCTTTTCTAATAAGAAACTATATTTTTCTGATGTTTCCACTATGTTGGGAAGAACATTCCCCCCATCTCCTTCCACAGCATCACTAAAACAGAAATGGAAATGATTGATTGAGAAACTATTGTACTACAGAAATAAAAAATCCTTCACATGAGTTCTCAAAGCATCACACCAAAAGATACCATTCTATCAATAAAGAGTTAAAAGGATATCCTTTCTCTTTAATTTTCTTCAAAATGAGAACAAACATGTTTCACTCATTATTTTGATACAAGTCTGTCAAAGTAAGATTTGGTTCTGTCTGCCTTCCTAGATCATAAATATTGAACTGATAGCATGACCTTCAACAGATCTCTTTATATTCCATTGCAGCCTTAAAGAATGAAGTGAGTTTGAGAAATTGCCTTAATGGTTAGAGAGCACTAGAAATTTACTTTTTTACCAAAAAGCCATACTTTACCAAGTAGTTTGTAAGGAGTGTGGATTGGGAGATTCTAAAGGCATGAAGGAGCTATAGATCTTTTACTATCACTTGACTCATAATTACTTTCTTTCAAATGGAATTAAAAAAAAATTAAGTAGCTTGAGCCAAGGAAGCTCTCTATATGAATCCCCCTTTTATCCTTCCCTCCACAAAAGGGAAACTTCACAAGATCAATCCTTTCTTTTATTTCTGTTCTTTATTATGGATATTTTCATTCTAATGAGTACTAAATGATTATAATTATATTATAAACTTACCTTTCCTCTCCTAAATCCTCTTCCAAATCTTCCTCTTCTTGTTCTTGATCTGCCTTTACCTTGTGCAAGTCTGATTTTACTCCTTTGGTCTGAGCAAGGAGATTGAGGATAGAAATCTGGTGGAAACTCTTCTTGCGTGAACACACACTGTGTAGTTTTGGGAAGAATGATTTGGACACTACTTTCTTGCTACTTGCACTAGAAGTAATTACACTAATCTCTGGGCCACTGCTATTACCAGTACTTGCTGCTTTTTCTGTTTTATTCGGAAAAGGATAAAATGTGTCATTCACAATACTCAAAGGGAATAGAATAAAGTACAGTACACAGTATTTCACTCATGATATTGGAGAGGAATATGCCATTACGATACTGAAGAAGAGGGTGAGCATATATAACTCAAATTCATTCAAACAGACTAAAAAATCTTGATCAGAGGCTCTCTAGTTCCTTAAAGTGGAAAGTAAAACAAGAAAGAGCCTGTTATGTTCTCATTTTAGGCTGTATAACATCATTACTTTTTAAATATCAAAATATATTTTAGTATATACTTCACATGTGGGATAGTAGGAGGAAGGGAAAGATCAAATAGGAGATAGAAGGTTGGGGTGATGGACACAGTAGTCTACAAGTGAGTGGGATGGACATAGATTATAGCAGAGCATCACATCAAAGTGGTGGTTTGTGTGATACTATTGCTGTAAGACAAAATGGATGAAAGTAATTATGAGTGATTTTTGCTCTTGGTTATGGCCTCCCTGTCACAGAGTAAGTGAGGGCTTGTAAGTGACCCCCCAAAGAAGTATGACATACTTTCACCCTTTGTGGATTCTTCTTGTGACTTTTCAGTTTCCTTTTCAGTAGCTCCTGCAACCTCTGTCTCCTTCACTTTTCTGGGGCGATATTCCTTTAGGGTTGCTGTCAGAAGACAAAGAAAACATTCCAATACTGTACATCAGAGTCTTTATCCTTTGTTTCTTCTTAAATAAATTATTATCTGTCTGCTAGTTAATGAGAATTTTCACCCACCCATTCATTATAGCATACCCCACTGGGTGGGGTATGCTATAATGAATCTAATTGGTTCTAGAACCTTGTTCGTTATAGCATTCGTTCGTTATAGGATTAATCCGTTCCAGGCCCCCAAATACAACCACTTAACACTGAAAAATATAATATAAAATTGTAAAAATTGTAAAAAAGTGCATAAATATGCATCTAAACTACTGAAATAAAGAATATCATTAATACTTGTGTCAAAAAACAATAAACTAGTATAAAAAAAAAAAAAATACTGTTCGTTGTAGGAGTTTCGTTCGTTATAGCATTCTCAATTTTATAGGTAAAACCGTTCATTATAGGAATATTCGTAGTAGAATCCGTTCGTTATAGCATACCCCACTGTATATACAGTGAACCCTCACTTTACGCGGTCAATTGAACCCACGGCGGCCCGGGTAAAGTGAACAGCATAACATATGGGATTTATTGAAATAGAGACCGGGCTGACCCCCAAACTCCACTTTTTCAGACACAATACCTACGTTGTAGTAAAAACAACTTCTTAATTTTATGATGGTATGCACACACAATTAATAATTATGAGAAATATCAATAATATTAGGTTTTTTAACACTTACATTAGTAGAAAAGATGGCTAGGCACACGGGGATGGGGGGTTGGTTCCGAGGCAGAGGGCAGATTATTGGCCCTCACCTGTATCACTTGTATCAATTGTATCACTATCCACCACAGAGGCTTGCAGGGCCTCTTTGTCAAACTCCTCAAAGTCCATAAAAGTCCTTATCCTCACTTTCATTATCACTATCACTGACTTGGGCCGGCTGTGGTGGGTGGCGGGTGAAGAACTCGGTAATGTTTTGATGACTGGGCGGCCTTGTGCGCACCCTGCTCGCGCCGCTCTCCGCGTAAAAGGGGTACACACACCGTGGAAAGTGAGCATTCCGTGTTCAGCAGGGTACCGCGTAAACGTGGAAACGCGTAAAGTGGGACCACGTAAAGCGAGGGTTGACTGTATATATATATATATATATATATATATGTACATATACACTCTTACTCTTAAATCACTACTGTAATGTGATACAGGTGATTAATTTTTATCTCTTGTGCAAAATATATGACGTTTACATTCATATTATTCGCTGTCTTGCAAGGATTCCAGCAATGCAAATTATATTCTAACTTTAGTCTGAGATATTATATAAGATAAAAACTGTAAGCCTAAAACCCTGGCTGGGCAGATGGGGGAGAGAGGGAGGGAGGGAACATTGGGGGGGTGATATGCTTGACAGTTGGCGCCAAAGGTCTAATGTGTGTTTATTTATCAGTCCTTAAGAGTGACTAAGCTTTTCCATTATAAAATGCCACTGAAATGACCGGGGAGAATATAATTTACATTGCTGGAATTCCTGTAAGATAGTGATTAATTTGAATATAAACAAGCTATAATTTGCACTTGACATAACAATTTTAGTACCATAATCATTTAGTACATGTACAATACAGGTTTGCACTTATGTCATTTATTTCTTTTACGTTTCTTTTATTATGGTGTGTACATGTAAATGAATAAAAATAAATGAAGAAATTTATGTAAATCTACTCAAAAATACAGTTGAAAAACTTTACATTACTAAAATATACTAAATTAATGTACTAAAACTTTTATCTCTTGTGCAAAATATATGCTGTTTATATTCTAATTATTCACTGTCTTGCAAGGATTCCAGCAATGTAAATTATATTCTCCTAACTTTAGTCTGTGATATTACTGTATATAATATAAAAACTTAAACCCTACTGTATAACCACCAAACCCTGGCTGAGGTGACAGTACCATGTTTGACAGTTGGCTGAGGTCTAGTAAAATATTTATGTCCTTTAGATTGAGATTTTTGTTGTAAATGCTTTCACCTTACAAGGATGTAAGTTTAAAAAAAAAAAAAAAAAAAAATAGTTTTTGTTTTTTTTGCTTACAAAATGTCATAGAAGTGACTAGGGAGAACATAATTTACATTGCTGGAAATTCTTATAAGATAGTGATTAATTTGAATGTAAACATGCTATAATTTGCACTAAACAAAAATTTTAGTAATCATTTTGTACATTATTCTGATTACATGTAAAGTTCAGCTTTGCCCTTAGGACAGTGTGTGCATGTAAATGAGTTTCAATAAATGAATAAAGTTACATAATCGAGCCAAAAATATTAGTTGAAAAACTTTATGCAAACAGAGCTTGGATGGCTAAATTTTAGAATGACCAATAATTTTAATATAGAAAATGCAAAAATATTTAAGAACACAACCTTCTTGATATTTACTCCACTGGAAACGAATGTAAACATAGAACAGATTACTGTATTGGCGGACTAGCCGATCAGCTGATGCTCACAACAAAACGTGTTTGTCGTAAGGATTTCGTTAATCCGAAGTTTTGTTCGTTAACCGAATTGAAGATCCTTATGGGAGCTAATTCGTTAACCGAAATTTCGTTAATTGAACCGTTCGTTAACCGAGGGACCACTGTATTCAAATTATTTGCTGTCTTGCAAGGATTCTAGCTATGCAATTTATATTCTGCTCGATGATTACACCTGTCAGTACAGGTATTGTCAAAGCATTATCCAGCATTGTAATCTCTCCGCCAGTCCCCAATCTCCTCCTCAAGGAATGACAAATACCCCGACACACCCCTCGGCTCTCCCTCCTGCCCACTAGCGAATGCTTCAAAATCATACTTCTGAGTTTGAGGGTTCAGACCTCAGGGAGAGAGAGGATTGGCAATGCTAAATGGTAAACCAATGAGTGGAGCCAACTGTACCTCATTATTATTCCTCATGGCTAAATACAGTACACTCAAGCAGAGCACTAGTGGCCAACACAGTTAAAATGGTCACTGCCAAATTGACCTGTGAATTTTACAAATTTCAACACTAAATACTGTTATATCTCTGTTAACCGGAACAATTGGTGCAGAGTGCTTACGGGAATGAGAGATTTCAGGGTAATGACACGACTCTCAAAGCCAGAAAAAATCCCTCATCCCTGGAATTTTCCGGGTAACGGAAAAATATTCTCGGAAGTTCCAGAAATTGTGCATTACACCATCTTTTGAGCCCGGAAAAATATCCCCTAACTCTGGAGAACATTTCTCGGAATTTACGGATAATGAGCCTAATTTTCATCTCTCAAACCCGGAAAAAACTCCCCCATCCGTAATTTTCCAGAGAATGTGCCCCTCGGAAAATCATTCCCAAAGTTGGAATTTTCCAGAAAATTCCGGCTTTGGGAATAATTTTCTGGGAAAATTTAAATTCCGTCTCTCTTTCTCTCTCAAAAAAAAAAAAATCATAATAATAAATAAATAAATAAATAAATTTGGAAATACTCACCAGTACTTTCACCAGGAGTTTTACATGTCAGCTGAGATGGCCGCCAGACATGTACAAAGTTCTCCTCAGCAAAACTGTACAGAAGGTCAGAATCAGCCGGGCTAAATTCAACACGGAAGACTCTGGTAAGGTGTCCACCATAGTTGACCATTGGTTCTCCTACAAAAGTGAACAACTGTAGTTATATAAAAAAAGAGTTTCTGCAGACATATTACCTGGTACTTAATGGTAATATTTCTAAAGGCTTCAAAGTTATCTTACAAAAAGTGCCTGATATCTTTAAATAAACATCTGCAATCCTGTTAAAATTCACCAAGCAGCAGCTGTATGTTTTGGCAGGTGCTGATCAGTGGCCTATTCCTTGTGTTATCATGTCTACCGGTGATAAACCAATCAAGGGAAGAATTCAAATATTATTTATATCTTTTTTAGCAAACATTAAAACCTCACCTAACAATAATAACAATAATTACTTCAGTTTTGAGAAGACAGCCAAGGTTGATCACAATAATTGCACAAGTACTGAAAGCAATGTGAAAAAAAATAAAAAAATAAAAAAATAAATAATAATAATAATAATATAATACTGTAAGAATACTAATATTTATTCAGTAAAATTGTCATATAACTTTTCACACACTAGCTCCACCACCTCTGCCCATTGGTGAGTACTAATGCAAACTTAATAGTTATATATCTATACACTATTATCTATAGAAATGGCAATGATTTTCTGTACGTATATGTAATGTTTTTCATGGGGCAAAGGGAGGCTTAGGAACACAACGCCTGTATTTTATCTATTTCTTATGGGGAAAATTGATCCGCTTAATGTTGTTTTGTACTTATTCTCTATAAGACTGCTTCTATAAAAGATCCTTAAACAAAATTTTCCCAAGTTAAATGACACAGCAATACCCACCTACTTCTCACTCTACTCCCTCCCTCTATCACTCACCCCACCACTACCACTCTCTCCTCCACCTTCCACCTCTCATACCCTCTGTACTGTAATTATTTAAGTAAATAAGAACAAGAATAAGAAGATAAGATAAGGGATAAGGTAAGAGAAATCATGTAAAGAAATGGAAAAAAAATACAAATAAAGAGAAAGAAATAATGAGTAATTAAAGAATAAATATAAAATAGAGATAAGAAACATAAAAATACAATTTTCCTCTTCTCTCATACACTCTAGGTTACAAGGGAAGGAAGACAGGCAGTCTGGGGGGGACTTACGCATCAACCCCCACCTTTTCACTGTACTGATGTAATAGGCCCCTGTCTCATCAACAGAACATATTATATAAATGGGTCAATACATCTGATATTACATCCAGATTCACCACCCTGTAACTTTCCACTGGCTATGAGGTGACATGTTCAATGCACGTGATAAGGTGTGCCCACGGGAAGCTGCGTCATACTATGCTGAGTAAAGGCATAAGTAGCCGGCTCTCTGGCCACCTGAAGCGAGCAGTAGTTTGATATCCTTGACTAGAGGAAGACGTTATTTGAGAGCCGCAGTAGATGGCTCTGTCTTCCCTCGAGGGGGAACGACGTACCCATACCGTTCTCCCTCGATGGGTCACTACTCATGAGTCGCTCACATCAACTTATATCGTAAGGACGTGACCTAACGTTTATAATACATAAACGCCGTCCCTTTCTCATTCACTCCTAAACAGTGGAACTTACGGTCGATCTATCACTCAGGAATTATATACATACAACCCTTTTATAATAAAAACAAAGGAACTACCGTTTGGGTTTCGTTACTTAAAACCCAAATATAAATATATGTGAACGGCCTGGTTAATTGCACAAGCAGCCGATTCACTAACACCCTCCCCCCACCACACCATGCCTCTACCATTCTCTCCACCTTCGACCTCCTATACCCTCCGTAATTGTTTAAGTACGTAAGAACAAGAATAAGAGGCAAGGTAAAAGAAATCATTTAAAGAAAAAAAATAAAAATAAAAAGAGAAAGAAATGAAGAGTAATTAAAGAATAAACAGAAAATAAAGATCAGAAAGAAATATTATGTATTGGGTTATGTGGGAAAAAAAGTAAATTTTTCCTCATTCTCTCATGTTAGTGACCTGACCTGATGTAATGTCAGGTCACCCATTGTTTATAAACTCTTCTCTCATTTGTGGTGGAGGCGGGGTGAGGAATTAGTGGTCTCGCATTATTGACTTTCTGATGCATTGTTAGGTCACCCATTGTCGGGGTGGGGGATTAGTGGGTCTCATGACCGGAAGAGGTTTCTTTGAGCTTGATGTTTCACTTATTGGTGAGATAAACCAGTTATGATAAGAGACTAATCTACTTTACCTGTTTTAGTGTCCCATAGCTGAACAGTGTGATCATACGAAGCTGTGGCAAGAACCCCAAGTTCGTGTGGTGACCATGCCAACCAAACCACACGTGATTCATGACCACACAACTCTTGGCTTGCCTGAGTAATAGTACTGCCAATTTCCCCATCTGTTAAACAAATAATAATTGTGTGATTAAATAAGCCATAATAATATATACATAAAAAAGTCCCACAACATATAAGTTGGGATTGAAAAATTCTGTACCTGTATAGTAATTACATCTAGAGATTGAATATTAGGCCACAAAACCTCATATTAAGTGACTCGGATCTGAAAGTCATATAAATAATACAGTGGGGTATGCTATAACGAATCTAATTGGTTCTAGAACCTTGTTCGTTATAGCATTCGATATAGGATTAATCCATTCCAGGCCCCCAAATACAACCACTTAACACTGAAAAATATAATATAAAATTGTAAAAATTGTAAAAAAGTGCATAAATATGCATCTAAACCCCTGAAATAAAGAATATCATTAATATTTGTAATAAAAAAACAATAAATTAGAAAAAAAAAAAATTTAAATAATGTTCGTTGTAGGAGTTTCGTTCGTTATAGCATTCTCAATTTTATAGGTAAAACCGTTCGTTATAGGAATATTCGTAGTAGGATCCGTTCGTTATAGCATACCCCACTGTATTACATTATCCTTCACCCTCATACTTAATTTCAGAGGAGTCACATAGCATGACAGTACCCTATGAAGTGTGAATTTGCTGTTGCATATAAAAGCATCTCTGATCCACAACATTCTTTGATATTGGCTAAAAGATATCAGTGAGGGCCACCACTTCAGATCCAGCTCACTTAGCACCTTAACCTGTTCACTGTTACACCCATGATATCACGGGCTACTGAGGTCCCCTCTTCAGGTTTCCCCCATATATAAACAGAATGATTCTGCAGAATGTGGGGTTCTTCTAAAATGTTTGAGAAGGATACTAGTCATATTGAGGCCTCTGGCATCTTTTCAAACTGCATCCCAAGTACAGTGAACCCTCACTTTACGCGGTCAATTAAACCAACGGCGGCCAGCGTAAAGTGAGAAACGCGTAAAGTGAACAACATAACATATGGGATTAATTGAAATAGAGACCGGGCAGACCCCCAAACTCCACTTTTTCAGACACAATACTTACGTTGTAGTAAAAATAACTTCTTAATTTTATGATGGTATGCACACACAATTAATAATTAAGAGAAATATCAATAATATTAGGTTTTTTAACACTTACATTAGTAGAAAAGATGGCTGGGCACACGGGGATGGGGGGTTGGTTCCGAGGCAGAGGGCCGAATATTGGCCCTCACCTGTATCACTTGTATCGCTATCCACCAGAGAGGCTTGCAGTGCCTCTTTGTCAAACCCCCTCAAAGTCCATATAAGTCCATGTCCTCACTATCATTATCACTATCACTGACTTGGGCCGGTTGTGGTGGGTGGCGGGTGAAAAACTCGGTAATGTTTTGATGACTGGGCGACCTTGTGCGCACCCTGCTCGCGCCGCTCTCCGCGTAAAAGGGTACACACACCCCGGAAAGTGAGCATTCCGTGTTCGGCAGGGTACCGCGTAAACGTCGAAACGCGTAAAGTGGGACCGCGTAAAGCGAGGGTTGACTGTACAGTACTGGACACGTTTGTCACCCGAGCTTTGATGCAATGTCTAGGTTATGCTCACTCCAGACTCCAGCTTTTCACGAGATTTTATTCAGGCTTCCTACTCGTTGTGGTCCAGATCGTGATGAACCTATACATAGTGGAATTGAGGAGGTGTCTGATCCTGATAATCCAGAGTATGAGAAACACTCTAGTGAGGAGAATGAAGACAAAATAGTCAGTGAAACTTTGTGTGGCAGGAGATAGTGCGTTGAGGTTCACATACCATTCTACCTACAATCTCCCTTGCTGGCTCTTGTTCTCTCTCTCTTATGGTTGACACCAATTGGAAGGAGGTGCAAAAGTAAGGACAGGGATACTGAAAGTGGGAGAAAGTGTGGTTGACATGGAACAAGAGCACGCGGTGGGAGAGGGAGGTCACAATCGCCTGCCACTACAACATGTACTATCACACCTCCCGCCACCACGCCATCCATACGGGACCCCCTATGCTTACCTACAACTTCTACAGACTCCACAGAACCCAACATGCTGCCTGATTAACCTGACCAACGTGTTATACTTGATGTTGCCAGGGACTGGTGAGACAGGGAAAGTTTCCAACTTGAACTCTTCAGTTTTGATAACTCTCGGTCAGGCATCACAGACGAGAGCATCACAGAAGAAGCAAACGTGTGAACTTCTTCCTACCGTTCTTCACAAATTATTTAGTGGCGCTCATTGCAGGTGAGACAAATAAATATTCTGATAGCTGGTATTGTGCTCCAGCCTCACTCATGCTTGCTCCAGTGGCAAGACACTACGTGTCAGAAATTTACCCATTCATGGCCCCCAACCCCCCCAAAAAAAAAAAACACGTGACGCCTGCTGGACCACCACTCAACGACCCCCTGACAGAGACAAGATGATCCTCCCCATACTGGTCAGATATTATGTGTTAAAGGAATATGCTTCCTTACTTAGGCTTTTCTAAGCATTTGCCTACAGGTGAAATGTTAACCTACATCTATTAAGGATAAAATCTTTCACCTACAAATTGACAATAACACATTTGCTGTAATCAGACATATCTAGTTGCCTCAACAATTGCAAGTTGCAATTGGAGTTGCAATTTCAAAATCTGTGGCATTACTAAAAATAGTAAAGTTTCTGGTGCACTCTAAGATTAAGAGAGAAAACGGAGGACTCAGGCGTCCTGATGTGAGAGAAAACGGACTCGTATGACGGGGGATGAAATAAAAAAAAGCATAGCTACATGTTTTGTGGACTACAGTATTAAGCGTACCCTTTTCATCACTTTGTAATAAACCTAGCCATGCCTATGTGTGTTTATGATATTTACCATAACATTATATATATGTATTTAGTGGGTATAAATGGTCGTAAAATGGGAAACTTGGGGTTGGGTCTTGGGTGCCTGGAACCAATTAGAATAAATCCCAAAGGTTCTGTACTTTCGTTATCGGCGGGGTCCCAATTAGGCGTGATAACCAAGGGATGACTGTATATACTTGTGACACTGGCCAGTTGCTTCTGGTGTTATGGTACAGGGGTACCAAGTGACAGCACTAGGATCCCGCTTCCTCTATCAAGGAATAAACAATTAAAATTTAAATTGAAAAAAAAAAAAAAACATTCAAATAAATTACTATCTTACAAGAATCCCTCCAATGTAAGTTATATTCACCCAGGTCGTTTGGGTGGCAAATTATGAGAAGAGCTTAGTCACTCTTAAGTAATGATAAATAAACACAGGCAGGCCTTCAGCGCCAACTGTCAAATCTTATCTCAAATAAATAAACAAACAAACGCCAGACATTCTGTCACCTCACCTCCCGCCCCCTCTGTTCAACCCTGGTGATTTCTTTATGTTTATTTTATATAATATCTCAGACTAAAGTTAGGATAATATAATTTGCATTGCTGAAATCCTTGCAAGACAGAGATTAATTTGAATATAAGCGTCATATATTTTGCTCAAGATATAAAAAATGTAGTACATTAGTGTACAATACTGTAGTACATTTTATAAAAAAAAATTCTACTGTATTTTTGGGTAGATTTACATAAATTTCTTCATTTATTTTCATACATTTACATGCACACACCATACTAAAAGAAACGTAAAAGAAATACTGTAAATGACTTTAGTGCAAAGCTGGAGTGCACATGTACTAATTTGATTACGGTACTAAAATTGTTATGTCTAGTGCGAATTACAACATGTTTATATTCAAATAAATCATTATCTTACAAGAATCCCAGCTATGTTAATTATATTCTCCCAGGTCATATCACTGGCATTTTAAAATGAGAGAAGCTTAGTAGGACTGTTAAATAAACACACAGAGACCTTCGCCTCAAACTTATCACCTCAACCCCCCAACCCCTCGCTGGGTGGCGTGGCTGGCTACGTCCCCCCCCCCCCCAGCCAGGCTTTTAGGCTTACAGTTTTTATCTTATATAATATCTCAGACTAAAGTTAAGAGATTATAATTTGCATTGCTGGAATCCTTGCAAGACAGCCAATAATTTGAATATAAATGTCATATATTTTGCTCAAGAGATAAAAATTGTTGTAGTACATTAGTGTACAGTATAGTACATTTTATAGTGCAAAGCTGGAGTGCACATGTACTAATTTGATTATGGTACTACAATTGTTTTGTCGAGTGCAAATTATAGCATGTTTATATTCAAATTAATCAGTATGTTACAAGAATCCCAGCTATGTTAATTATATTCACCCAGGTCATTTCACTGGCTTTTTATAAGAGAAGCTAAGTCACCTGAGAACTGATAAATATGCACGCGTTAGACCTGAGCATGTGCCAACTGTCAAACGTAATACCTCCCCTCCCCCCACGCCCCCTCGCACCCTCTCTCTCCCCCATCTGCTGGCATTGCTGGAATCCTTGTAAAACAGTGAATAATTTTAATATAAACATCATGTATTTTGCACAAGAGATAAAAATTAATCACCTGTATCACATTACAGTAGTGATTTAAGAGTAACAGTGTATATGTACATATATAGTATTCCACATACACGTAAGTATAAATAAAAAGTTTATGTGATGATCGGACAACGTCTATTTCGGTTTACGTCACGTTTCCAAGAACGTATCTAGGACGTTAACCGGCGCATGACTGTACTTCAATTATGTTCAATAATTGTTAAAATGACTAAAAAATTTAATATAAAACTTTTAAAATTATTGTATAGTACAACCTTCTTGATATTTACTAAAATGGTAAGGAATTTAAGCCCTAAAACCGATTACTGTATTGGCGGACTAATACTACAGCTGGTGGGCAGCCAAATGCAGGCGAAAACATGTTGGGACAAATTCGTAAGGAATTCGTTAACCGAGGGTTTGCTCGTTAACTGAAGTGAAGAATCTTATGGAAGGTAATTCGTTAACCAAAATTTTGTTAACCGAGGCGCTCGTTAACCGAGGGATCACTGTAATTGGTTCCAACTCACAGAAAAAGTACATACAAAGTACAGTACTGTACACCAGTAATAGAATTAACAAAACATTAAATATAAACAAAATACACTCCTGTACTGTACAGTATACTGTACAGTAATAAATAAAAAAACAATAGAATACTGTATTTTAACTTACTTTGAGGTGTGTTTGTCATATTACCGGCAGCTATGTTTACATATCAAACAGCTGATTGTAGAGGCAGTCGATGATGACATGCCATATTCTTCACAGGGTGCATTGGTTCTAATGCCTTCTTCAAGTTTCATAATAATTTCTGCACTGTATTGTATCAATATGTCAACTAAATTTTAGAATGACCAATAATTTTAATGTAAAAATGCAAAAATATTCAAGAGACCAACAAACTCGATGTTCACTCCACTGTAAACAAAGTTAAACTGAGAAGCGTTGGTGGGCGATTTGATCAGCTGATGGGCGCACAAGAACTGTTCCCTGTACTGTCTGTATTATCAATATGTCAACTAAATTTCAGAATGGCCAATAATTTCAATTTAAAAATGCAGAAATATTCAAGAGACCGACTTTCTTGATATTCACTTCACTGGAAACGAATGTAAACATAGAACCAATTACTGTATTGGCGGACGAGCCAATCAGCTGATGAGCACAACAAAATGTGTTTGTCGTAAGGATTTCATTAATCGAATTGAAAATCTTTATGGGAGCTAATTCATTAACCAAAATTTTGTTAACCGAACAATTCGTTAACCGAGGGACCACTGTATTTTGTAATCATATAATACTATGTACTTCTGTACAGAAGTCTTGAGTTAATAGTCTAATTGTGAAAGATGTACTGTTGACATTTCTAGAGTCTCTCCCTCCGGCGTTAAGCGAGGACTTACTGTGCATTCAGTATTAGTTGTTATAAGCTGGTGTTACTTTGAATCTTGATTACACGATTTAAGGAATAGTTTCATTGGTGTATGTTCAGTGTAATTATATGGAAATGTCATTTTCAACTGTCAGGTGGAGGTAGCAAAGGATTGTTTACATGATCCTGGTCTGTTAACCAAAGCTGTTATTTCAAAATGTGAGTCTGATTAATGGACCTAGAGGTTGAAGCACTGCTAAAAGAGAAGGATTATTCAGTAGTGGCCACGACAAGATGCTCAACAGAACCACTCTGGGTGATAGTTTGGCTGGTCCTTAAATGGTGGCCATGATGATGTTATCATGCAGTAAATGTCAAACATACAAGTGGATTGGAGTGTATTTGTTCAAAAATTAAAAAGTCCTCAGCCTTCTTACTTTTCAGGGTACCTTTAGGTGCAATCCCAGGTAAAGTAACATAGGATAACTAATGCATACAGTACAAGGTTAAGGCAGATGAGTTGGAAGATAGAGAAGAGGAAAAATAAATTCAGGATAAAATCCTATTCTTGATCTTGCTATAGGTTATTATAAAGTTAATGGAAATGTCATTCTGTCTTATTTAACACACAACCGAACCATTATAATGATTGAACAAATGGGGTGAGCCTAAGTTGATGTTTGTGTACAGTATTTGCACAGTATAAAATACAATTAAACTAAATATCATCTGGACATTTTGCAGGACAAATTAAGAATTACTCTACTAAACACAGTGATGAATAACATCCAGATAAAATTTGATCACAAAGGATTAGACTATTACCTTGACTTGAATTCAAAGGCTACACCTCCAAAAGACATTTGTGCATCATCTGTTATTCATTAAGCAAATTTCTCGAAATGATTACAAAAGATGAAATGTGTAAAACATGAACAAACATAAATGGATTGTTGATGAGATAGATAAGATAATTACCACAAGATTCCTACAGGCAGAGAAGCTCTAAAATTGAAAGCATAATTTATACGTACTATTGAGAAGCTCTTCCAAGTGGAATATGTAAACTTTATTTTCACTTGAGCCAACAGCCAAGATATAAGAAGGGGTGGAGTCTGATGGTGGTTGCCAAAGAAGATGCTGGATAGATTTCCTCACCACCACCAATTTTGTCATCAACTCCAAGTCACAGCTCCGATAAACTCGTACCTGTCTAGAAGAAATTTCCCAGAAAATATTTATTCAATATAAATTTTTACTAAATTTAATGACCTTTCAACAGTTTAGTGCACTCTCACTTCTGTAAATACAGTAATACTTTTACAAGCTCCATGAGAATGGTTCAATATTTTTATTTTTTGAGTTTCGAGTAAAACTCAGATACAAGGGGTCTTTCTTATATGTTGTATTTCATCATCCATTTTTTATATTAATGTGTGTGTATCAGAACATGATGCATAAATTGTGTTAATAACATGTATTATAATGTAAAAATAACCATTATAGGTAATAACAGTGCCCTACAAGTGTTACATTTCTACAAAGTCAAATATGTCAGTCACTTGAGGTATGAGGAGTGACTCACCTCTCACACGACTGCATGCCATTGTTATGTGTAAGTAAACACAGAATTTGCAGAAAAGACATCTCAATGTACTAGTGTGTCTTATGACGAAAGAAAGCAGGGCCATGCACAGGACCTGTCAGATGGGAGAGCTGAGAGTTTGCAAAAAGGGCATCACCCCCTGAGGGAGGAGGCGAGCAAAGTGAGCCTTTACAGCTCGGGGTCTAGGGCCATTTTGAGACCATATGCAGTTGCTATGAATGTCCCTTGAATTTGGCAAAATACCGGTTGTCAATATGTTCTTCAACTTAGTGTATAGATGAATCATAAGCCATACAATGACATTATTAGATAATTTAGTTACAACATAAACTAATAAAATCAAAGCTCTGTCACAAAAGCACACCACATATAATATTAATACAGTGGTAAATCGTTAAATGAAATCTCGTTAACCGAGGGATCACTGTATCCCATTGAAATAATGGATTTGGTTAACAAACGACTCTGTAGAACGAATTGTGTTCGTTAACCGAGGGACCACTGCATATCAATACAGTATTATTTTAACTTTCCTCCTTTTAATTTTAATAAAGCATGCAGTCTTCAACAGTTATCTTAGAGGTCACAGAATCAGGATTATATTTCATTGCAAATGAATGCAGGGAACCCTTAGTCTTTCGTATATGAGACACCATTTCCTAAGCGACATCATATTCGCTACAGCATCTTGCTACAGACCAACTACTCTCTAACTTCTGTAACAACTCCAGGTTCTGAGCTACAGTAAGCAGCGTGCACTTCCTTTTGGGTGCCATCACTAAGCAACATTCACAAGGCACAAGAAACCAGGCACAAAAACAGTCACCGGGCACAATCGAGAGGCAGCGAGATGGTGTGTACACACTGAGACTAGTGGCAGGAGATGCGGACTGGGTCCATTTTAGCAGTGGAGGAGTAAACACGGCATTTAGACTGAGAGAGAGAGACCGGATAGGAATTTGCCATATCCATACGTCAACTGGACCAACCAAAATCCGCATGTGACACTGAGAGATAGAAAACCTTGTTCAGAGCTAAAAGGGTATCCTGCCCTTGTAATGAAAGGGTTGGCAAGGTTTTGCTAAGAGACAGACAAGAAGGTTTGGGTAAATGGAGAGAGTGAAGGAGACCAATCAGGTAAGGAAATGATTGAGTTTGAATGTGGAGTAGAGGGCAGCTAAGGGATGGCCAAGAAAAGACCTTAAAGATAAGAGCCTGATGAGAGACTGCATGATACCATGCAGCTTGGAAAGCTGCCTTCCAATAATCATGGCTCACTCATGCAAGCCTGGAAAATGGGCAAAAACTGGAGTTGCCCTTGAAGATGATGATATATACAGTGTATCAGTTGTGTAATGGAGAAAAAATTATGACTATTTTCATACAAATTTTAAAAACACCTACCCATCCTGTGATCCAATTGACAGGTACTTATAGTCTGGACTGAATGAGAATTCTGTGATATCTTTTGGGATTTTCCTGGGGTCTGATTCTGGAATTAGTGTATGCAGGAAGACTGGATCTGAAAATGAATATGGTGATTTAACAAGATATGTAACACTAACGATACAAAGACATGCATTTAAACTTAACAGCAGCTTTACATGGTAAAAACTGATACCTAGTAAAATGCACAACAGGAAGACTAAGTCATATGGCAATAATCACATCACTACCTGGTGATAAAACCAAATCTTAAAAATAAGGGCAAGGTCACTGACATTCAAACTTAGCCTTGGAATCTTTTGAAAACGAATGACCTAAAGGGTCTTGACAAGTTTTTCACACAAGTAATTAGCCTGTAGAGAGCATGAAAAGAAGGACAGGGTACTACAACCTTGTCAGTTCTAAGCTCCGTCCTGTTGACACATATTTAAATTTTCAATGATTTGACGAAGAAGTAATAGGCATATCTTCTATGGATGCAATTCTTGGGATAAAATCTTAACATTTTCCATGCAGCTTGAACAAAATACTTTAGGGGCCACTGTTCCGTAAAGCCTACCCGAATAAAGGCACCCAAGTCAAGTCCCTTATTTTCTGTAGGTGGTTTCAGCTCCTCTCACTCCTCCTCCTACTTGATGTATAAAGAAGCAGCAGAGTCTAATTTAATTTTCCTTTGAGAATGAGACATTTATTATACAGAAAAATCAGGAAATCCCTGATGAACTGCTGCAAGATGGCAAAAAGTATGTTGAGTTACAAGACATTCAGTCTTACTAGTCATGGAACCACCACACTGTGATCCCAAGACTTTAGGTGAAGGAAGCAAATGGGTCTGATTATTTATTATTGTTGTCATTTTGGAAGGGTCTTCAGCAACTTGGGCAGTATTGCAGCAAGAGCCTACCAAGTCTAAAGTAAAATATACTGCACTATTAAACTATATAGTGGTATGTAAATTATTCAAACCAGTGCCTTCATATTATACACTATAGTGCTGTACACTATATCCAATGCAAATGGTAACAACTATTTCGAAAATAATTCTATAATACAGTAAAGATTTAAAACATACTTAAAATAAAATGCATATCAAACTTGAAAATAAAACTAAATTATTAATAAAATCAATATAGACTTAATGCAAACGAATAGCAGCAAAGTCATGAAATGCTTTTAAAATAAGAGTCATCCACTACAAAAGGGCATTTATATATTAAAATACAGTGAACCCTCGAAGATCCGGACTAAAAAGGGGGACCACCTGTCTGAAAAAGCTGATTGTCCAAATCTTCCGGCGAACGTACTGAATGTATAAAAACAATAAATAACGATATAAAAAATACCAAAAATACAGTACAGGTACATATTAGCCTGACCACTGGGGTTAGCTATACAGATTTTTTCCTGTGAAAAAGCCATAATTTTGAGCAACATATTACTGTACTCTGTATTCAAATATACTATACTAAAGGACCAGTTTTTATCTCTTGTGAAAACTATGTAATGTTTATACTCAAATAATCCGCTATCTTGCAAGGATTCCAGTACTGCAAGTTAAATTCGGTTAAGTTTAGCCTGCTACATTTTATACGATAAAAACTTTCAGCCTAGCACTACCTTCACCCTGGCTGGGAGGGGGGAGGTGTTGATAGCAGGTGGGGAAGTTACCAAGTGTGTGGTTATCAGATCAAATACTGTAGAGGAAGTTTAAATTTTTCGCTTGTAAAATATCAATGAATTGAATTGGCAGAATATAACTTTCATAGCTGGAATTCCTTAAGATGGTGATTTATTTGAGTTCAAACATCCCATAGTTTCCATTAGACAAAAATTTTAGTAATTATTTAGTACATTTTAGCACAGGTTTGCCCTTATGACATTTATTTTTATATTTTTTCACAATATGTATTTAGGATGGTGTGTGCATGTAAATAAGTAAAATTAAATGAAGAAAGTTATGTATATCTACCCGAAAATACGAGTTGAAAAACTTGTACTCAAATGTACTACACTAAAGGACTAAAATATTTATCTCTTGTGCAAACTATGTGATTTTTATACTCAAGTTATTCGCAAACTTGCAAGGATTCCAGTAATGCAAGTTATATTCTGCTAAGTTTAGTCTGACATTTTATAAGATAAAAACTTTAAGCCTAAAACTACTGTACCTTCCCCCTGTTTTGGGAATGCTTCTTAGTGAGGCTTCTAAGCCCAGAGCCCAGAATTTAATTAGAACTATATTTATGGATTCCAGTAGTTTAGACTCAAGGAAAACATCCCCAGCATCCAGAAACATTCTGGGGAAGTGGGCTAGTGTCCATCTGAGCAAGATGTCTAGTTTAGACACTCGGAAACTTTTCCCAGTAACTGGAAAAAGTTCAGGGATAAGGAATTTTTCCGGGTTTGAGAAAGTTGTCTTGTTTGCTGGAAATCTCTCATCCCAGGAAGTGCTCTGCACCAATTGTTCCGGCTAACGGGGATATCACTGTATTTAAGTATCTTAACTCTCTCGCACACACAATAAGTTTTAAGTTACTGTTACCATAACAAAAGTCATATGGGACCATTCTTGGGAGGTCTGGTCATCTTTGTTCTGTAGCCAATTTATCCCACAAGAAATAGTTTTTTGCATGATTTACACATGACCAGCTTCGTTATTGTTTTGGCTTTGACACTAGTAAAAAAAAGAAATAATAATAATAATAGGATGAGAATAAGACTGTTTTTTCACTCTGAATAAAGAAAAAAAATTCCCAGCATCATATCTCTGACATATTTTCACAAATCTACCAAGGTATTATGTAGGTACAGAAGTAGAATTTTATGAACTTTACACCAGCGGCTTTAAAATTTTGATACAGCTAATTATGGGGAGGGTGTGGGAGAGGAAATAAAGAGACAAATGTGTCCTGCCGCACAGCTGACGGAAGGAAATTGATGAACAGCGGACCAAATTTTTAACCCGATAACTGCGGTAGAATGATTTGCCTATGAACCCCCGGTGCGCAAAAAACACATACAGTAGAACCTTGATAAATCTGACTAATTGGGGCAGACCCTAGTCCGAAAAATTGGAAAGTCCAAAAAAAATTAATATATAAGGCGGGGGTGGGGAGTTTAGAGATAACACTGCTTAACTAACCTGTTTAAAGAAAATCAGTTGTTGTTATGTTATTACTGCATTTCAACAACTAAGATCTTTAAGTGTATAACGAGGTTATTAAAAGAATATTACATCAACAACAAAAAAAACATAAGAAACAGAACTCTCTGGGTTGAAAATCAGACATGTATGTCAGGTTGTCACCGAGATGATTGTTATTTACTGTAAAGTGTTATATGTAAGTAACCACAGAATTTGTCTTATGAATAAAGAGAAAACTGTATACTGTACAGTACTATAAAGATAAAAATAAGAACAAATAAGTGTAGGAGTATATTGTATGAGAGCAGCTGGCAGAGGGGAGGGTAGGGAGGGGGTAGCATGGGTGGGTGGCTCCCTCCCCCTCTCTTTCCCCCAAGATTCCCTTAACATTTCTTTATGCAATTTCACCACAATTCTCATATAATTTAGGATCATTTGGTGCCACGTTGATAAAATATTATCCTAAAAGAATCAGCTTTACTGAAAAAAGAATTCCACACTGAACACCATGAGTCATTTCATACTCATTTGTTTACAAGAGCAAACAGCTAATCGGCTTACCAGAATGTCTGTCTTCAACACTTAGTAAATTAGTACAGTACAGTTGTGTATTTATCATCACTACATAAATACTATTGCAGTGTATTTATCACCATTTAATAAATACTATTGTAGTACATTTATCATCACTTAAGTAATATTATAGTGCAAAGTATTAATCCCCAGCCTGCTTACATACTCAAGTGTCTCAATCTTAGTTGGCCTATAGCAAATCTTATTAGACCACTGTGCAATATTCAGTAAGTGTGGTTCAGTTCATGAGATTTTTTATTTAATTTTTCCCATTTCTTTAACTTTTTTTTTTTAGTATTTCTGGTGACCAGAACATCTAAGAGTCCGAAAAAAGCGAATTCCTAAATATTGAAGTCCAATTTATCAAGGTTTAACTGTATATAGATTTTCCACAAACATCATTTTAACTCTTGTGGATTAAAATATAATATGTAGAAGAATGTGGAAACCAAATATGAGTCCATTACTTACCTTAGTTTGGCCTCCAGTCTCTTAGGGGACAAAAAAAAGATTCTAACCTCTATTGCTCACCCCAACACTCAACTTATTTGACAATTTCACTAAAAGTTAATATAGTTGAAGTTTTTAACATTATTCTCAATAGATCTTGAATGTTTCACCTATAAGTACAGTATATATATCTTATGGTAATACCGTACATACAGGTAGTAAGTAGTAAGCAGCTACCAAACAGGGAGGCACTACCACCTGGGAAGATATTGGAAGCATAATGTGTTGTCTAATGGTAGACCCTGCTGCCATATGGCAACACAAAAATTGTGACCAAGTCCCAGGTTGCTGATCTGACTTTCTGCCTCATTTACAAACAATGGTCTCAATTGTTTCTCTTAGACAACACAACATATAATTATAATGTATTGTATATCATTTCTCACTCTTGATTTATTTTTTCAATTTTGTATTTATTTATGGTTATTATTTATATTATTTGTATTATTTTATTTTTACTTGTATTAATTTGCTATTAATTATATTAATTGTTGTAATAATTATTATAATAATAATAATAATAATAATAATAATAATAATAATAATAATAATAATAATAATAATAGATATTATTATTATTATTATAATCATTATTTATTATTATATTTTCACCCCCCAGGCCCTGATGTGGGTCATTACCTGTGCCCGGGTGGGCTAATCTAAAAAAAATAAATAAATAAAAAAATAAATAAAAAATAAAATAAAAAAAAAGGACATTCTGAAACAACACCCGGGGCACACTAGTCGGACGTTCTGGAACGTTACCCGAGACTTAAGGGTTAAAATGTGCTATATCTTATACAGTATCATCTCTAATTCTGCTGTACATACAGTACATATGATTCTGATGGAAGGCAGCAGTGTTTGTGTAGCCCCTCTCCAAGGACTAACTCAACAGAGCACAAGTTAAACCACCAAATTTTGAGGCAATTTAGCAAAACAGAATAGGACAACTCTACATTAAATGTAGAAACAATGCCACAAAGGATGCACTATCTCTGTTTACACAGTTGTCCAAGGAGGGAGGGTGCAAAAGTAAGATGCTATAATGTCTATCAGTGGTACAGGTTTACACTACAGCAAAGTCTAGTTTGACAAGTAGAATATTAAAGTAAATCTTACTAGTAAACGGGAGTTTGGAAGACCAAGGTGAGGGATTCAGTGACGAAAGTTCTTTAGAGATTTACCAAAATTTCTTCTTCCAACACAGATACATGCAAAACTGTGAAAGACAGTGAAAAACCTTATCTTGTTTAAGAAAAGTTAAAACATAAGACTTCCAACAAACCTGCCATAGGGTCCGATGAAGCACGAATTGCAATCTCCCGATCACCAAAGGAATAAGCACACCAAGTATCTGACATTTCTGAAACAAAAATTTTGAATATTATCTTTGGCACCACAATTCCATTAGATTACAATTTTCCATTCCCACCAAAAAAGGGTGGCACTAAAACTGTATGTTATCTAAAGGTAGATAATGAACTGAGTTTCTAAAATCCTGCTTCATAGCTAAGAGGAGATGAGGATAATATGCATGAAAGTGTCAACACCACAAATCCCCAAATCCGATGGCATGTCTGTAAGACGTTAGGTGATCTGGTAATTCTGACTTTTCTAATCAACCATCTACATGTATGCAAATTGATCTAGTTTATTAAATCTGGCTGACTAGATGTCAGTGAACAGTTGAATTGAGAAAACATAACTTGTGATTCTCAATCCACTTCATGGAGTGCCTTGGCCATATACTGTACTGTATGTTAAATGTTCACAAGCCCAATGATCACTCCATTCCCAACAATGAGCATAAGACCTCTTGGTGGTAAGAGACCAGGTCAATTCCTCAGTCTGGCACACAGGGGGTCCCTGGGTTATGAACGGGTTCCGTTCCTGAGGATATTCTTAAGTTGAAAATGTACGCAAGTCGAAACACATGCTATGTGCATACTGTACTTACAGAACATTGTTTAAAATCCCACTATATCATAGCCTATGTCCTTATATACATCTAAAATCACTTAATTTAAGAAAAAATGAGAAATAGAATGACAAAATACAGTAAATGAAAGTAAAAAATAAGTCATCAGGTAAACAAAATACTGTACTGTAAATTTAAAGTTTGGACTCAATTATATCGGCGGGTATTTTATTAAGTCGGATGTTTGTAAGTCGGGGACCTCCTGTACATTATTCTCTGACTGGAATCTTTCAAGGCTTTAGCATCTTACATACCTTTGAAATATTTTTCTCTGAATGATATCGTTTAGGGCTTTAGCAACAGATCTTCTTTTCATCATTCTCTGAGATGGTTCTATATTTATTACTCCAACCAAACTTAGAAAACTCTGTAGATACCTAAAATTTTGTATCCTCCTTATCTTCTCTTCCTCAGACTTTTTTTTTATACCACAGCCTTAATTGTTAGAACTTACAGTACTTTTAGCTTTTTCCCTTGCACTCTTACAAATTCTATTACAAGATGACAAAACTCCACTAAATTCTCTTCTTTTAGTACAGAGCCATCCACAAATACTGACATATTCACTTTTCCTTTTCTGCCATTATTTTTCAGACTTACTGCTCTAATTAATTAACCAAGACAGCCCTATTTCTTTTTTATTTACACTCGCTCGTTTATCGTATCATTCTTAACGTAAGCACTTTCCAAAGAATTTTTTTTTATCTTTTCCCCTCAAATGTATAATTTTCATCCCTGCCAAAAATTTATTTCTATAAACTTGACTGTTTTTTCCAACCTTTAAATTAAGGACATGTTTTCACTCTGTTATCATTCTCACAAATCTTCACAACTGATAAATTATGAAACATTATGTTTTGCTAATATATTTTTCATGAACTTAAATTTGCAAAATTATGTGACTGTAATTCTGTAGGCTGAAATGAAGAACTTAGCAATGAAATGAGTACTGTACACTATCAGGTGCACTTAACAATGGTGGAACAACCCTTTCACTGGATAAGTATCATGTCATGGGAGTGGGGTTACCCAATAGTTACTGAATGCTAAGAATCAGGAGATCAACATCTTTCCAGCTACCATGATATCATAGCAGGAAAGGCTGGTAATCCAGTAAATATCACATAGAGAGGACCACCAGTCTGGTGTAGGGTTACATAGGTCAGACCTTTTCTGAACTGTTGCTGGACCAAGCTATTATAAAACCTGCCCTGGTGTAGCCTGGATTTGATCCTGCACAAATAGAGTGGTACACTGATGTGGTAAGCACTCCATCATAGAGTGGGTGAAAGGCTGATAAACAAACACAAAACAAATATGTATTTTACTCTTAATTTAGGAAATATAAAAATAATAGCATTAATATGCATGATAAATTAAATCTTATCATCAACAGTGTAAATACTATATTGCAAAAAAATGTATGTTCTCTTCATTATGTAGAGCAAATTCTACCATGGCATAAAATAGTACAGTCATACACAAAGAAAGCACTTAAGATTCTGATCTGCATATGATGAAAACATATTGTACAGTATACAAATATATCCACTACTTTCTACTAACCTGACTCCCCAGGACAGACTAAAGGTCCCCACTCAACCTTGTACACTGGCTTTTGATGATAGTAGGCAAATGCTGTAACACGTCCAGAAGATACATCTGTCCACCCTACCTGACCTAAGCCAGTGCCAAACAGTAATCGCCCATCGTGAGCTGGGTGCCAAGAAAGCTGTTGGAGGAAAAAATATAATGAAACTTTTTTGCCAAATATTCATAAGATTAGAGTATATTAATATTGAGGTAGGGCCTTGGGTTAGGGGCCCAACTGGACCACTGGTTAATACAAGCCTACCTGGAATCAAGGTGTTAGACCTGTCTTTCAAGTGAGGGTCCCACTTTGAGAATTACGACAAAAGACTAACTGCTCACACTGAACATCCAATCTGATATTAACTAGTTAGTAGATACCTTGAATGGATCCTCATGTTCTTTAATAATGGAGAGCCCCTAATATCCTCTCAAAGTAAAATTTTACATGCATTTTGGTTAATTTCTGAAGCAGAAAACTCACAAAGCTTCCCAACAATAGAGATTTTCCAATTAAACTGAAGCTTGAACCTCAGAGAGTCAAGGAAACAAAACCATCAAAAGACAGACATATTACTGAACATAAAATTAGATAACTTGACACAGAATGGATGACATCGGCTCCCAAGCCAGCATGCCAATTGAATCCACACTGAATCATGATCAAACTTAAAATGATGTTTGTAAACAGAAATAAATAATTCCTTAATAAATACTAACAATGAGGAATGTGTTGCTGGTTAGTACACCCTGAATAGTGCTTTAATAGGGCCAAAGTCCTAATCTGTAGAAATGTACAATGAACAATGTGACCACCTGTTTGGTGTGAGGTTGTGGCCAGGAATGAATGTGGTTAGGCCTGAGAGCCTTCTTCTCATCAACTCAAAGAACAGTCAATGTGCAATTGTTTATGAGACATCAAGGTCGCCTGATCTCTTCTCACTCGTCTGAGAGAAATAACTTGGGTTTGTAATTATGTATCCTTTTTCTGGGGTATTGTTACTTTTAGGGAAATTCATAATTTATCAGAATATGGTAGTCCTGGTCACTAATGTTATGGTCTCCTAGGGTATAAACCAATGGCTTAGTGAGTGCATATACTGTACTTAAACCTTTGACAGAAAGTTGCCTGGTTAAAAATTCCCACACTGTGACAGCTGTTTGGTGAGAATTTTATTGATTAATCATTCGTCCCTTGCTTGTTTAGTAGAAGACAAAAAGAAGGATAACAGAGCCACAAAAAGAATAATATGAAGTTTCATAACAAGTGACCAACTACCAAATGAAAGTGTAATGGGAATTTTACGGGGAATAGCCCACCCGTGCACAGGTCATCGACCCACAACGGGGCCTAGGGGGCAAAAAAATAAGAGTAAAAATAAATTAAAAATAGAAAAGAAAAAGATTACATTAACCATAAAAAAGAACTATCAATAAGGCAAAGGACAACTACTTCACTACAATAATTAATGTCATACTACATAACTTAGGCCAACTGATTTACATTCTTAAACTAATAAATTATCACAAGACAAAAACAAAACTCACAGAGAAGACCTTTCCTTTGATGTTCTGCCACACAGTCTGTGTAGACAATGGTATGTCACTTGCAAAATTCAATAGTCTTATATTGTTCTCCTGAGAACCAATAGCTAGTCTGGAGAAAAGAGGAGGAATATAAATGTTAGAACACCAAGACCAAATATGTAATGTATACATAAAGTAATATTATATAAGCATGTGATGGTAATGAAACAATGGGATAGATTCTACAGCAATAAGTCACTGTTACAGATACTGATACTGTACTGAAAAATTGTATTTCATTATCCAACACAGCTGCTAAAATATCTGACTACTTATTGCAGCTACCTATCTATCACCTACATTTATTTCTAAAACTTAGTGTTCTAAAGCAAATGGAATAAAGAAGGTGCACTGAGCTTCACGAAAATAGTCCAATTATTCTTCATACTTGTTGAGGAAAAAACAAATTTAAATTGTATACTTTTTACTTTACTAGCATTAGCTCTTCCATTTCCATTTCCACTAAAGATGGTCATAATGTCATATATTTAGCATCCTCCATTTGTATAAAATCTCACTGACTGAATCTATATCTTAAGCAGATTATCTTCCCGGCTTCAGCTGAACCTTGTAAATTTGGATCACCAGTCTATCACCTAAATGTGCTCTTGTTTTTAGGTCACCCGTACAAAGAGCAGAAGAGCTTATCCCACGCCCCCCACATTGTTATCATTATTGCTATTGTTAGCATAAAAAAATACATACCTTTTATGTTCAATTCCTTCAACCAGTTTTACTGTACAGTACTCTAGTTCTCCCTTAACCAATTAATACAACTCTGTATATTTAAAGTGTAACCAGAGTTGTTAAAAGTACTGGACTTTGTTACTTAAGTACTGTAAAAGTATTGTTACATTGACAAAATGTTACTCAAGTAGAAGTAAAAGAGTATCGCATTCTTAAAGTACTCAGGTACTGAAAATAAAAAGTAAAAAAAAAAAAATTATTTGCCTCAAATATTAAAACAAATCCACAGTAAATTATGAAAAAAAATAGTTAACTAAAGATAAAAATAAAAGACATCATTACACATATTTATTTTCAAATCTTTCTATTACAATTAACCAATAAATGATTCTCAAAATTATGGTTGTCCAATCAGGAATTTTTAGGCCTCCCTATCAGGACCTTTTAGGCCTAAATATAAGCCCAGCATGACCTACCAAAAAGAAATACGTTCAGCCACTCTTCCCCCTACAATCACTTTCTTCTTTATCAACACAAGTATCGTCGTCATGGACTTATGATCTGCAGACATAAAGTTGTTTCTGCTCCCATTAGGTTTCGGACACCTATCTGCCATGTATCTGAGGTGGGGCATGACCTGCACTTCTCTTCCTGTAAACTCTGTAACTGTCCCAACACTAACACCCTTCAACACTATTGCCTTGACTGTCCCACTGTAAGGGACCTCCTACCACAGGGAGTCATTTATTCATAATAATTTAGATTTAATTCTTGTACGCTACCCATGCTTTGATGGGTACTAACTCCCATTGTCCTTAAATCATATTAATATTGTCTCCATATCACAATTCATAGCGTGTCCTGCGAGACAAGAGTACCAATGTGTTAGTGTCTGACCGCATAGTCTTGTGACTAGGCTTGTTGCCCCCTGGGGTGTAATAAATTAACTAGATATTAAATAATAAGCCCAGCATGATTAAACAGACGCTCACAAGCAGCAGATGAAGGTAGTGGGATGTTAAGCTTGAGAGATAAGTCACATATGTCAGGAAAGACCTCAGTAGCTCCATTCCATCCCCTGGGCATGCCAAGTAGCTATCAAACTCCTTCAGTTGAGGAGTTTGTGGATGAGTGTTGCCTCCACAGTCACTGAGTCTGACTAAGACTCACTGTGACCTGCCCCTCTAATTGGGGGTGTGGCTGTTGTGACCTCACTCTTTGATTCTAATTGATGAATGGCTGAATTTTTTGCACCACGTAACATCTGGCGAAGGGTACTTAGTGGTACTTAGTTATTTAAGCAGAATTTTAAATACACTCAGTCTCACACATATTGTACTGCGCACATCATTGTCATTCCTAAAACCCCATTTAATTCATATTACGCTATATAACATTCAAATCCACCGCGCTTGTAGAACCTCAGAAAACGGGAAACATTTTTAAAGGATAACTCACCTACTCAATGTTACTAGACCATGTGTTGTCTTGTACCCAGGCACAGTCATATCATATTAATTGTATGTATTCATAGCATTAAGGAGAACTCAGGGTATCCATACGATGAATGCTAAAGTCCAGTTGAGCCGGACTAGTGTACTGTAGGACTAAGTGTGGACCAGGGTTTGAAGGTCATACTATTTACATCTGTGAACGTGTCGCGAACATAACTTCCACAGATATCATATGAAAATACATGAGAACAATGATCTGGAAAAAGGATAAATGTATCAGAACTATGTGAGGTGTTGGAAGTGACCCAGAAACTATACTTGAAAGGAAATAATCTTGTATGCGTCTGTATGAACTTAATACACCTCGTATCCTCACGTGACATATACCCACGACAGGTACAGTGATCAGAGAATCTTATGTCGGTGTTCAAATAGTGCAATGTGTGAGAGGAGGATCCCTAATTACAGTTTTAAGTGAAGTTAACACACCCCCGCCATGAACATTTAGCCTTTGTTTTAAGGCGCGTCATGTACCCGCCTCTGGTGTGCCGCGTTGATATTATAACCCAATGAATTTACCCACGAACTAGCAAACCAAGACCTTACCTTAGTGTGTAATTTAGGATTAAAATATGTGTTTATACGGCATGAGTGACAATATACCGAAAAGTGTTCAGGTGAGAACCGTAAGAAATAAAAGTAAAAATTAAAGATTGGAAACTGTAGGCCTACGTGGTGAGGAGCGGCAGGGCACTGCCCTCAGTACCCTCCGTTCTACTGTCACCTCAGGTCAGTGTCCTGTCGGGCTATATCCCGCCCTATAATTAAGGCTTATATAGAAGTTATTACAGTTTAAAGCTTTGCCTGATATATAAGTGTAATAGTAATGTGTTAGGGGGTGTGATAACCGCCCGTCAGGCATTATTTCTCAGTACCCTCCGTTCTACCGTCACCTCAGGTTCCATGCGGTCGGAGTGCCTTGCTGCCCGGCAGCCATTATCCCTATGAGCGTCCCAACAGGTGGTGACTATTCCCAGACCGTGAGAAACTCTGCGGTCGTCACTTGGAGCGACCTATAATACCAGGCGTAAAAATAGTACTGGTATGTCTCTGGGTGAAGCCCTCGTCTTTACCCACCGAGGGCTGTGTGCGAACGAGGTGCCTGTTGTGTATACCTAAAAGCTACAAGGAGTCCCATACCTGCAGGGGTGGAGTGTAACATGTGTGTTGAGATGGTGCTACTATGTATGATAACCGACGGTGCTATATTCCATACAGGTGGAGTAGTCTGATGTGTTAAGGGATAGTGTAAGAAGGAATGACCGAGGTAAGGTGGTCACAGATTGTTATGCAATAAGTATGTGGATGACACGCCATTAATGTAAGACGTCTGGTGCCCATCTGTGTAACCAACATTTTCGTTGTTCTTCTGAGGAAGACCAATCCATTTGTATGTTTTTACCAGTATGCTTTATAAGGAATAAATTAATTAAGACATGTTATGGTTTCACCCTTCCTTCCCCTTATCGATCTGGTCAATGGAAAACCTAACCCAATGCCTAGTCCACTCTGCACGCTACCTAACGAGCTACATGCTGTCCAGAGGGGGTCTGGTGGCAGCGACCCTTAGAAATTAAGATTAGAGTTAAGTATTCCCCCTTAGAATTAGTGACCCCCAGTCTGGCAGTATAATATATATATATAGATACTTACTTTATATCTAAGATGGAATTACATAAAGCCTTTTAGAATCACAGCCTCTTTGAAATTCATTTTAGGTACAGGTACAGTATATGCAAAGAGCAACTGACGTCTTTCGGAAAAGTGGGGGAGAAGAGAGGAGATTTGATGGGGGAGGGGGGGGATACAAGGGTAGGGTAGGTGAGGTGGGTGGTCAAGGTGCTAATGAACACAAGAAGTTCAAAGGGAAAGTCTGCTGTCATGGCCATTACCATATGACCTGACCTGACCTGACTTCACCTCACCTCACAAAACATGTAGGTACGTGACCGCGTGGTCTCCCCACACCCACCCTCACCCTTCACGGCTCCACCCTCACCCTCTCCAGTCTCTACCAACACAACTATTTTATTATGGCTAATTATTGATTAATTAATTAATAAATACAGCAGTCCCTCCAGTAACGAGCGGTTCAATTTACGAGATTTCGGTTAACGAATTAGCTCCCATAAGGATTTTCAGTTCTATTAACGACAACCTTACGAGAAACACGCTTTGGTGTGCGCATCAGCTGATCGGCTAGTCCGCCAATACAATAATCGGTTCTATGTTTACATTCATTTCCAGTGGCTTAAACATCGAGAGAGTTGTGCTCTTGAATATTTTTGCATTTTTTTATATTAAAATTATTGGTCATTCTGAAATTTAGTTGACATATTGATAATACAGACAGTACAGGGAACAGTTCTTGTGCGCCCATCAGCTGATCAAATCACCCACCAACGCTTCTCAGCTTAACTTTGTTTACAGTGGAGTAAACATTGAGTTTGTTGATCTCTTGAATATTTTTGCATTTTTACATTAAAATTATTGGTCATTCTGAAATTTAGTTTACATATTGATAATATACAGTGCCGAAATTATTATGAAACATGAAGAAGGCATGAAGAATATGGCATGTCATCATCGACTGCCTCTACAATCAGCTGTTTTATATGTAAACAAAGCGGCCGGGAATACGACATACACACCTCAAAGTGAGTTAAAATACAGTATTCTATTGTTTTTTATTTATTATTGTACAGTATACTGTACAGTACAGTACTGCATTTAGTTTATATTTAATGTTTTGTTAATTCTATTACTGGTATACAGTACTTTGTATGTACAGTATACTTTTTCTGTGAGCTGAAACCAATTATGCAATATCCCATTGAAATAATAGATTCAGTTTACAAAATTTTCAGTTAACGACTGACTCTGTGGAACTAAATGTGTTAATTAATCGAAGGACCACTGTATATTATTAGTTTGCCACAATAAAACTCGTTGTTTGTTTGTTTGGGTCATGTAACAAGTAACGGTTTTTGTTTTTTTTCAATTGAATTGGAGTAAAAGTATTAGAAAATCATACTTAAGTAAAATAACTATTTTTTAGTACTTTTTAAAAAGTAGAAAGCCAAAAATGTTACTAGAGTACAGTACAGTACTCAAGTAAATTTATTTCATTACTTTACAACTGACTGTGACATGACAGTTACATTGTCTTTACAAAACAATTGTTTACTTCTCTATAGTATTCTGATTATTTATAGCTTCACATCCATACAAAAGGGTTGGAGTACTGTACTTACTTCTTTCCTTCAAGATTTTTGCAAATTCCTTATTTAATTATTTTTTCATTCACCGTAACTTTGAATACATCCAAAACTTTTCTTATATTCAATTAATCCATTCTCAATAATATCTTAAATCATGAACCAATTAAATGTTTCTTTGTTTTATATTATACTTAAATTACCATTAGTTTTCAATCACTAATAATGCTCTTGCTTGCATTCTCTTATTGACCTATCTAACTTATTATCTAACCTGGCTCCAGGAAATCAGTAACAAAGAATCCTTGCTTCAGCTTAAATCTTACAAGATCATGTCACACTTCAGGATATGTCTCTAAAAATACACTATACAGGTATAAAAAATAATATTGCATATGGTATTGATATATTATGGGTATTGTATTTAACAAAGAAAAATCTAAGTTCCATCTAATCTTTATTTCAGTTGTCTTTGTATGTGAATGCAATGAAAGTGATTTATGAAAAAAAACTGAGGTTAAAGATAAATTTCAAGATAGGCCTGGCAAGACTTACATATTACCTACTTAGCATCTTCATCATCATTTTACTACTATTTTACATGCTAGTGTGGGTTAGCATTGCTGGTAAATGCCTGATGGCAGGGTGTCCTGGTTGCCACCAGACACAATTGACTTTTTATTTCATTTGCAATCTAAATTAAACCTATTCATCATCCAAATAAGTTTTATATCTTGAACCAACCTGTTGACATCCTGAGGACAAAAGGAAAGAGAGCTAGCACAGGCACCAAGAGTAGGCAGTTGGAACATGTGAGTGGAATTCCCGATGTGGAAGCCATGGAGGAGACGATCTTGTCCATATGTTACTGCCATGTCTCCAATCACTTCCAGGTTGTATATAACTCTATTGTGCAGATGATGTATTACCTGGTGATGAATTAAAATTTGAGTCCTAACAATTCAAATTTCAAAGCTGAAAAGATAGTACAGGTACTTCTGAATAAATCAATTTTATACAACAATTTCTTTTCAAAGCATAATCTAAAAATATACTGTATATATTTTTTTTTTCAGTTTTCAAATGTTTACTTATAATGGAATTAACACACAAAATATTTCTGTTACAAATCTTAATACTTTAGGAAAGTCAGTACATTGAAAATAGCTCCGATAATTATCCCGAGATAACTCGCTGATACAAGAAATTATGAGAAAAAAATTTGCATTTATAATGACATTCTGTATGCATATTAAAACATTTGATTTATAACTAAAACATTTTCATAGTATGTACATGCATAAATAAGACATTTCTTTGAAGAAATAATATACCTGTGTACCTGTAATTTCATTCGGTGTTTAAGCACAGATTTACAATGTATGAAAAAAGAAGAAAATCAAAGAGAAATTAGTACCCGGAAGTTACTATTAGTATTCTATCTATATTCTTTGGTAAAACACACTAAATGTAATGTGGAAATTTTTTGACAATTGTTGTAAAAAAAATAACAAACAAAAACATATTATACAATACATTCTCTTACATAACTGTACACAAAGCAATTATATTATCATAGATAGATAAAATATCTTTCCATACAGAGACGTTACTGTATCATTCAGGTTCCCCTAAATGTTTGTGGAGGTGTGATAAACACAAAAACAAGGTACAGGTACTATACATAGAGGAACATCACAAAGAAGACAACAACATTTACTTTCCCTTTTGATTTTCTTGCCATTTACATCACATTTTCGAGAGCACATGGCACAGCATGTTGGGGCTTTCTTCTTTTCAGTTACCGGCAGAATTTCTGGAAAGTGTCTTCCAGTGAGATGAAGTGGAGGTGGTTCTTCCCTGGTTGTCCTGAAGATTTGGGGTCGAGCTCAGGTGTATGGTATTTCAGCATAATCTGCTCAATACAGTATTTATTCTGTACTGCAAAGAAGTACCTGTCCCTCCTGACTTCATATAAAGGAAGTAAGAGTTCTACACTTCCAAATCTATAAAATGCAGAAATATTTTCTTGTAGGACTTGTTCCCTCGCTTTCTTGATGCAGGATAATCTACCAGGTGTTGATCCACGTTATCAACTCCTCCCATTGTATTATTATAGTTCATTACTGCTTGTGGTCTCATCTTCACCTCATTTTCCACAGTCACCATTTCTGCATTATGGAGTGTTGAGAGTAGAGAGATATCTTTCTTGTCTTTCCAACAAATAACAGTGAATTTTTCTCTTTTCAGTGATGCAATTCCCCTTTTTATAGGTTTTTCTTTTGAATATCAATGGGCATGTCCATACAAATCAATATTTTAACTTGTAAGAATGTCTGCTAGTTGTGGAGAAGTCTAGTAATTATCCACAGTGAGACAATATCTTTTACAAGGTATTTAGCAAAGGTTTGAAAAGTGTTATTACTACCTATGATGATATTGGAAGGTCTTTGTAATCATTAACAATATTTGTACCTTTCCCTGTATACAGTATGGGCCGTATTCAAGATTGTTTTACGTGGGATTTCCTCATTAGGAATCCTCACGGTGTGCTTTGCCCAAGCCGTAGGGGTTGGTCTGCCAACATAGGAAAAAAGGGAATGTTGGTATGCCGTACGCAAACAGCTGATCACAATTACTGTTAGTTGTGGGCAATAAAAATGAAATAAAGATATACTGAATCAACAGACTTATCATATATACTATATTGTACAAAGTAAAAATCTTGTGGTATTTTTTTTTTACATGTTTCCCATAATCTGCTGGGTCACCGTGTGTTGTCTGTTGGTGTACAACCTACCTGCTCAGTCCTAATGTACTCTCAAAAATTTCAAATTATACCATGACGCTTCAATAAAGTTGCTTTCATTGGTATCAGATAACAAAATAAGTACCTGTACTTTCTGTTTAATATGGTGGAGGGTTGGGGGGAGGGGCTGGCTAGGGGATTTGGTATGGTTAGGTAGGTTTCTTTGGTTGGTTAGGTCAGGTTTTATTACGTTCACTATTATTCATTTGTAACAGAAATGTATAGAATGAAAGGTACTCAGAATGATGATATACAGTATCTGCAACTGGACCCAAAAATGTTGGGGGATATTATGGGCAACTTGTAAAATTTACCAATCTTTTATACTGGTGATGAATGAGTTCACATGTGTGTGTGAGGTAGAGTGAAGACTTCAGCATCAGCATTGACTCAACCCTGACCTAGGCTTTTATGCTACAAGTATTGAAATATTTCAATAATTTCAGATATACCCTGTACTACCTGATTAATATATACATAAACGACATAGATATATGCATAGACAGCAACATAAGTAGATTTGGTGACGACACTAAAATAGGGAGCGTAATTAAATCTAAAGAGGACTCCGCAAAACTACAGGTAGACCTAGACAAATTTTTCGAATGGTCTGAAAAATGGCAGGTGAAATATAATGTGGACAAAATGTAAAGTACTTAGACTAGGAGATGTAAACAGAGAAACCAGATATCAGATGAACAATGCTGTTATAGAGAAATCCAACTGTGAGAAAGATTTAGGAATAATGATAAGTAGGAATCTTAAACCCAAGTCAACAATGTGCATTTGCCCGAAACAAGGCTAACAAAGTATTTGGGTTACAAGACTAGCAGGGTTATCCTAAAACTATATCTTTTGCTTGTGAGACTTCACTTGGATTATACAGTTCAATTCTGGTCACCGTACTACAGAATGGATATAGAATACTACAAGGAATTCAGAGGAGAATGACAAGACTAATCCCGGGCATTAGGAACCTTGAGTATAGAGACAGGTTAAAGCATCTTAATTTGCACTCCCTCGAGAGACATAGAGTGAGGGGCGATATGATAGAGGTGTACAAATGGAAGACAGGGCTAAACAAAGGGGACATTACAAAGGTACTCAAACTATCCAACCAGGAGCGAACTCGTAACAATGGTTTTAAATTACACAAATTTAAATTTCGGCGCGAAATAGGTAAACACTGGATTAGAAACAGAGTAATGGATGAGTGGAACAAGTTACCAAACATCATCATTAACTCGAATACGCTGGATAGCTTCAAACATAAGTTTATATGAGCGATAGGGGTTGGTTGTAAATGGGAGTGTCAAACAACCAATACTGTAATGCTAGTTATGGGCAATAAAAATAAAGATATACTAAATCAATAAAATTATCAAATGTATCGTCTATATAAGTGGCAAGTGAATTCACACATGCGAGTGTTAGATCAGAGTAGGCATAAAGACATCAACAAAATTGAAGGGCTATTTCTAAAGTAAGACCTTCCTCTATATTCACACTAGACTCATGAATGGGTTTAAAATTCGGCAGTCTAATTTTTGGTAAACAAACATGAAATATCAAATTTTGGGAGGTAGATTATGAATGTTTAAACGCCATATCTGTCCTTGTCCATCAGCGAAATTCATACTATATGTATGATGAATATTTTTTCGACTATACTGGAAGCATTGCAACATATATGTAATTGCAATTATATTAAGAGTCAACATTGATTTATCCTTAAGGCTTGCTTAGGGCGCCCAACAAAAATTCCAGTAATATCCGTGAGCAATGCTCACGCCATGAGCAATCCATGTGCTTCTTAAATACAAAACGCGAGGATTCCTCATGAGGAAAGCCCATGTAAAATGATCTTGAAACAGCCCTAAATCATAAAAGACCAAACATATCCAGTTTTTGACACACAAAGCAAGAATTTTTTATGCCAAACCTGGCTCATTTCAATGGAAGATACTGAACCTAGCCTCGTCATCCTTTATAAAGCATTAGGCTCACATCTACAGCATTATCCCTCTCTGGTTTGTAGAATCCTAAATTTATTCATTAGAAGCTGGTAGACTGGCCATATGTTATTCAATTCAGGATTTGGATGGGTTTGAGGATCATACTCTTTATTATCTACAAAGTGCAAATACCGTTTTATTTTACAAAACCTGTTGTATGACATTGCTTGTCAAAAAAAAAAAAGTGTGGACAGCATAGAATTCTTTGACCAATACTGTGATATTTCTGGTTTCTTAACAATGCCTTGTAAAATAAGAAGCCCTAAAATACTCTAATTCCACCACCTGTAACAGGGTATCATTGACTTTTTCCAGTGTTACATCTCACAGATGCTTCAGCTAACTTCTGTACTGCAAACCTATTTTTTTTTTTTATGGGGACTAGCCCACCAGGTCACAGGTCATCGACCCACAACGGGGCCTGGGGGACAAAAGAAAATAAGAAGCTTAAATTAATCTACACCACGATGATGCCGGAAAACCAGCTTTTTGAAGTGAGACAGATTGTATGAGTATGGAAACACAGAAGAATTCAGAGCATTCCACAGTTTGGCTGTGTGAGGAAAGAAGTATGTACTATAACGGGTTATTCTAATGTGCCCGACATCCACAGAGAAACGGTGGGCACCGCAGGCAAGACGAGTGTTACGAACCCACGGCCTTGCCGGCGGTACACAGGATGCCAAATCCACCGAACATTGCCTGTTAAAGTACCTGTAAAAGAGAGAGAGTGAAGCAACATTGTGGCAAAGAGAAAGGGAAGAAAGATTATCAGCTAAAGGAGGAGAGCTAATAAGACAGGTTGCCTTTGATTCCACCCTATCTAACAGTTGGACAGAAGAAGAGCCACCCCAAATATGAGAGCAGTACTCCAAGTTAGGATGAATGAATCCCTTATAAACTTGAAGCAACTGCTCAGGAGTGAAGTAGCTATGGCATCTGTAAAGCATTCCCAGCTTTCGGGAGGCAGCTTTAGCAATGTTGAGGATGTGTGGCTTCCATGACATAGTATTAGACGTAATGGTGAGGCCCAGCATATCTATTTTAGAACTTGGCAGAATGATTGTGTCCTGAAATGTGATTGGTGGGAGATCATCTAATTTGGAAAGTGTAATTGGTAAATACTGAATTTTATTACTATTGAATTTAACCAAGTTTCTATCTCCCCATTTGGAAATGCTGCACAGATCCACATTGATAGCTGAAATGATATCAGCTCTAGAAACAGATGTAGTTTGAAAATTAGGGGGAAGGGAAAAATGTGAAGAGTAGAATCATCAGCATAAGAATGGATAGAATTAGTCGTAGTGTGAAGAAAATCATTGATAAAATGAAGGAAGAAAGAAGGTGAAAAAACAGAATCCTGTGGGACACCACTATTGGTAGAGAAAGAGCGAGAGATCGATCCCTCGACAACAACTGCCATGGATCAGTTCTCAAGGAAGCTAGAAAGTAGAGAACAAAGAGGGGGAGAGAAACCATAAGAGGGAAGTTTAGAAAGCAAAGACTTGTGCCATACCCTGTCAAATGCTTTGGAGATGTCGAGGGCCACAACGAAAGTTCCTGATAATCCCTAAGAGAGAATGACCAATGATGGGTGCAGTGGGAGAGCAGATCACCAGTAGATCTCGCCTGGCAAAAGCCATACTGGTAATCCGACAAAAGAGGAAAGTGTTCAAGGTGACGGAGAAAATGAGAGTTTAAGATACTGTAGTTCAAAAATCTTAAGAGAGAGATGGGGCAAAAGTTAGAGGGATTAGAATGGTCACCCTTCTTTGGGATGGGCTGAACCGAGGCATGCTTCCAAGAAGAAGGAAAAGTTTGGGTCCGATATCAGGGATAGTGCGCATCAGGTAGTGCCAGCGATGCCTGACTCCATGGGTGAATGCCGCAAAAGCAGCATGTGGCTCTGTGCTAGCAATATCAAACAGAACTTGGATTCCCCTAACCCACTCATTCACCTTTCCCGTTACGTACTCGGTCTCGAAGTCCGTCGTGCTGATTACTGCGCCTAGGTGTCTTTGACCCATCATTTGTTATTTTGACCTCACTTCCACCAAACACCTCCATTGTCCGTTCATAATGTTCTGGCTTCACAATGAGGAAAGACTTGCTGGTGGTACCCTAATTGTGGACCATGTGATGTTATCAAGTCCCACCACGTTTTGATGTCCTCCACTTTTCCTGCTCCTGTAAGGTCGTCAGCATACGCCACTTGCTTGACCTTGGTTGTTTCAAAATTTATTGTGTGTTGGAGCACGGATAGGCCTATTGAGTACATTGCCATTGCAACAGGGTTCCCCTGCGTTGTTCCCTCAGTTGACTGTATGATGGTATCGCCTCATAGAGCCTTGGTGTTTACTATATAGCAGTCTGATGGATTCCTATAGGTGTTTTCAACATACATTGCAAAGCTTGGACACTTGATCTTGATATTGTGCAGTGCGGCCTTGTGGTTAAGTATGTTGAATGCGTTGGAAGCGTCAACCAAGAGAACGGCCTCACAATCAAGCTGCTCAAATATCGTTCTCATGGAGTGCATGGCAGCTTCCCCTCCAGCCTACTATTGGAGCAGCGTTTATTTGTACTACATTTTCAGGTTGAGTAGACTCACTGCTATCATTTAGGATATTATCGGGCAGTTGGGTTCCGGCGATATCCTCCTGTGTCGGCTCCCTGTCATGTGGGTTCCAACAATTGTTTCCTTTTCTGCAAATCACACATGGTCAGTTGTTTCTCACACAATCACAGCTAGTGCAATTTTGGTTCTGGCTAGCACCGACGCAACAATGTCTGTTACCCGGTACAGTGTTCCGCACTTTGGGTGACAGTTACGGCCTCCTCCAACATCTGCTTTGGTCCCATACAGCAGAAGAAACTAGTTCTTAAGAGGAAAGGGCGGAGAGGTGACAGGCTGGACTGCTGTGTCCGGGTGTGTAGGCCACCCCCCTGAGGGCGACAATCCATACATCAGAGTGATACACTTGGAGAAAGAATTGTCACACCTAACACTTGTTTATATATCCTTGGCAGAAATAACCACTATTTCTATGGTCGCACTTGGCCTTCTGTCACTGACCATAGGGACTAGAGTCGCGAGGCCACCCTCGCCAAAGTAGGCCTATCAACATTGGCACTGACATCTGCCACCTGCACTAGCTGTCCCGCCAAGCACTCACAACTCGCTTGGTGATCGACAGTAAACACACGTTATATTTGCGATTAATGCCGTAAGGGATGAGAAGAAACTTCAGCGACAATGCTTAGGGTGACATCCGATATTCACCGACACACTGTGAAATTCCCGCTCCCACTACTACTACTACTACTACTACTACTACTACTACTACTACTACTACTAATAATAATAATAATAATAATAATAATATTATTATTATTATTATTAATATCTGTAAATAAAAAATACAAGTCAAACTTTCAATACAGTCTCTCCTCAATTTACGACAGGGTTCCATCCCGACGACCAGGTCGTAAGTAAAATTGGTTGTAAGTCGAAAAGGCGAAAATAATACATAGAAATTCTAAAATGGGTGTCTCTTTTTCTTCTCAGCACCACGAGAACTCTCACTTTTATGCATGCTAGTCATTTTAAAGGGAATTACAAGCAAAAATTTTGTCAGCACACAGAGCAATCACTAACGTCGGGACTCAAAAATACGTAATGTGAAAAATATTTTATACATAAGAACATAAGAATGGAGGAATCTGCAGTGGGCCTATTGGCCCATACTGGGCGGTCCCATTTACACCCAACCCCTATTGCTCATATGAGCATCCAACCTATGTTTGAAGCTATCCAGTGTATTCGAGTTAATGATGATATTTGGTAACTTGTTCCATTCATCCACTACTCTGTTACCAAACGAGTGTTTACCTATTTCGCACCGAAATCTAAATTTGTCTAATTTAAAACCATTGTTCCGAGTTCGCTCCTGGTTGAAAAGTTTGAGTACCTTTGTAATGTCCCCTTTGTTCAGCCCTGACTTCCATTTATATGCCTCTATCATATCGCCTCTCACTCTACATCTCTCGAGGGAGTGGAAATTAAGATGCTTTAACCTGTCTCTGTACTCAATGTTCCTAATGCCCAGGATTAGCCTTGTCAAGTAGCAAGTTAGTTACCCCAAACTGTACTGTTACTTTCCCATAACTTAACACACTCGATCACAATCCCGATCAGCCACATAAATCCCCCCACACCATAATTAATCCTTTAGACAAAATCCCACCATGATATATAGACAAAATAAGATACCGAGAGAAAGAGACAAATACGCCCTCACCATGTTCCTCAGTACCCCTCTACCTATTACTACCTACACATAGGGTTTATATCACCATGGAGAAGCTCACCAGAAAGAGTGGGATTTTGTAGTATCAGACAGTGGACATAAAGGTGGTCAGGTACAGGTGGTCACGAACCATTCCGAGCCGATGCCACAACAAATCCTGACCGATGCCATCCGACCATGGCTGTCATATGTCCGGGTTGTCGTAAGTCAAGGAGAGACTGTACAGTATACAAATCCTCAAGTACATGACTTGCATGTTTGTAAAAATAAATAAATAAATTAAAATACTGAGCATCAACATTTCCTCACCAATGTTTTTTGTATAAAGGTAGGCTACATTTCTAATATTAATCTTGAATTTCCAACACTTGCTGTTGTCTCTTATGCCTTATGCAATGTAAAATACACACCTTACACTAAAAAGCAATGAAGCTTACCTTGAACTTGGACCCTCCAGACCAGAGTGTCCATTGGAGTAGCTCTCCTCTCACATTTGAAGATAAAAGGTTCCCCTTGTACCAAGCTAAAGCGATGTGTTGTTTTCCTGGGTTCTTTTCTTTATTCTGTTCAGCACAGTAAAACAAAAAATACAAATTAGATGTACAATATAAAATAGTATACTTTCTTTGAGTTTCATTGATGTCTGATGGGCTTTATGATACAAAGGGTCCTCGCTAGCTATGTTGTGCTGATATACGTCATTTCACGTTATGTCGCTAACAAATACAGTGGTCCCTCAATTAACAAAATTTCGGTTAACGAATTAGCTCCCATAAGGATTTTCAATTCCATTAATGAACAAAACTTCGATTAACAACAGCCTTACGAGAAACACGCTTTGTGTGCACATCAGCTGATCGGCTAGTCCGCCAATACAGTAATTGGTTCTATGTTTACATTAGTTTCCAGTGGAGCAAATATCAAGAAAGTATTGTATTGGGAGTGTGTTTGCCCGTCCAAAATGAGATGTGTAATTTATAGAATCGAGATAAGATGCGTAATTTATTCTCTTAGATTCTCGGAAAACTTTTCCCAGCACCCAGAAACATTCTAGGGATGTGGGATAGTGTCTGTCTGTGTGAGACGCATCTCATTACTCAGAAATCTCTCATTCCTGGAAGAGCTCTGCATCAACTGTTCCAGCTAAAAGGGAGATTACTTTTATATTTTGTTTATTTCTAAGCCATGTCGTTTGTATTGAGTGGAATGGGTGTTAAAGAAGTCCATTTTTCTGCAAATTTTTGCATTTTCATGAGCATATTCTTTTTTTTTCAAATGAACAAGGACAAGCAAAAAAGACCGCAATTGGGGAACCATCGTGAAAATACATGGATTTGCAGAAAACCAGACTTCTGAGACATGAATTGGCGAGGTCAGCCTATATTTAGGCATTTTTTATTGTGTATTAAACCATTTCTACTCTGTATTTAAAATTTTTGTTTATATATTTTCTGACATTCAGACCCAGTGTATATTCAACATGTAAACCTATGTCACATTTTAATGTGTCTACATGGCAATCCAGACCATGGAGGTCCTTAACTCATGTTATTGGGCGACTCCGCTGTATTATACAAAACCACTGGCAAACTTATGGAAACATATAATTCATAAAAAAAGTGAAATACATGTTTCCATCATACATCTGACATCATGGTCTGAAGTATGCCCAGCACCAGATGCACATTATTAGACAACACATCTACCAGAAGAGTTCCTACATCCAGACAAGCCCCACATTTAGTTGATCACGAATGGGTACTCTATTCACTTATTCAGTTTAATCCTTCTGACGCCATCCCAGAAGGCCCGGCATAGTAGGGGTCTGATGGCGTCAATCTACCACTTCATTTTTTTAATTTTCCCGCGTGAGCAGCGCGACTATTATTGTGACAATAGCTCATCCCCGCTCACCCACACTTCTCCTTGACTGCATCTTAGGCAAATAATCAGTATAACAGTTGTCACCACGGAGGAAGGTCATGTGTCTACCTCTCTGGATTACCCACTTAGAACTCCAGCTCCCAAGCCCTGCCACTCCAAGCCACAGAGTGGTGAATGTACTGTATATAGTGTAATAATAAGGAACAATGTGAAGGTGTTGTGAAGTTGTAAGAACATGGAGTGAGTTTGCAGTGCACCACCGTTCACTCCCAGATGCACAATAACTACTAGAGGGGTGCTGAGGTACGATGTCTCGCCGACTTCTCCGACTCACCAATAACCATAGGTGGTGAGCCATTTTCTTTACTTAAAGCCCAATGCCAAGACAAAATCTTGTTTCATAAAATATACACAGCATTATAGAGCTTGGGGCTAAGAGAGGCATATATGTTTGATAACATTTGTATTTTAAAGCCTGATGCTGAATATTAAACACTGGCTAATCAAAATCTTCATCAAAATTTGTTTTTTAAAGACTGATGTTGAGTGAGACCATTTGCTTACTACTATTTGTTCTTTAAAGCAAGAATCTGAATAAGGATCATATTCTTACCGAAGTCTGTTTTCTAAAGCCTGATGTTGATTGAGGAATGTTGGTTTTACATATGTATCTCTTGGCGGACAGATCCCACAGGAAGATGTTGCGGCCATAATCAGATGATACAATGAATGGCCCATTACTAGCTGCTGAAGTCTTATTACTTTGCTGGCTTTTATTCCTTGGACCTACAAAAAGATGCAGAATCAACACATTGTATTCTTGGTATAATCTGTATGGCAAAGCCTTATCACTTCATATGCACTTTGGCTTAAAATCATGGCAAGATAATGTTGATTTTCTGATGATTTTGTACATAAAGGAACTACTACTACTGCAAAATGTTGTACAGTACGATACAGCTTTACATAATCATCCATATTTAATACCTCTTCCTACTACATCAGGAGTGTCACTTGGAGTAAGAATAAGTAATGATGCTGGAGGTAGAAAAAAAAATCATTCTGTCATATAAAGGCCTATATAGCACACAAACAAGATTCAGAGGATGCAGATATTTCTGTATACAGCATATGAGTATACAGGTATCTCCAACATATGTGGTGCTTCAAGAATAGAAAGATTGAAGGAGACAAGAAAGGCTCAATGAAGAATGTGCTTCATAAAAGTAATTAATAAAAACCTGGAATGAGTTAAGTAAGAGAGAACAGGTAGTGAAGAAAACTGAATGTAAGGTGGAGGGTAGAATGAGTGATAGGGAGAAATATACCAGGATATGTGAATGTTGTAGTGTCTCTAAAGGGATCTGCATGAATCACCTGCTTTACAGCATATAAAATACACCATAAACAGGTATGCTGAACAATGGTCTTAAAATGAGAGAAATAAAAATAAAATAAATTTTCTTCATACAATAAAGTGAAAAAAGTTAAGTTGATAATGGCAAATTTCATCTCCCTTTACACATTCTACCCAACACATTCTCTAACCTACCATTTATCTTTGGTACCCACCAATATTTGGTCTTACTCACAACTTTCATGTTAATTTCCTCCATGTCTGTTTACTCCTCTTACTTTCTGAACTGCTCTTTAGACACAAAGATATGTGTCTACAGGACATAGATGCACCCATCAGCAGATTGTCTAACAGATGTATTATCATCTTCAAGAGTCTTAATACATGGATCTGGTTCTTGTTCATGTCATATTACCTTGTGATGGTATAGATGCTTATGAAGTTTCATTAATGTCTCTGGGGATCTCAGAAGCTACTGAATGGGCAAGAAAATATTCCATTCAAACTTTGACATCATTACCATACTTTGCCATTTGAAGCACGAACATGGCTCTTGTTCACATTATCTAGTGATGAAACCAGTTTAACAGTTATTTAACAAATATAAATGTGTGACAAAGAAAGGGATACATGAACAAAGAGGGAAGTGCAATCCAGTACAGTATAGCCCCACAATTGTTTGGCCAAAAGCATAGAATACATGGAATTCAAATACCTCTGCCAACCAGTGAGATGTCAGGTCCCTCTTAACTCTGACCTCTAAAATTTACTTTGACCTTTGATGCATGGCCATAGTTCTTGTTCCTGACATACTCTCTAGTGGTGTTACATAAGCTTAAAAAGTTCTAAAAAATTATCTTTTGAAATTCATAAGTTACGGAAAGACAAAAAATGCTCCATTTGATCTTTGACCTATTATTATGATCTTAAGGTTCATATCAGACCTGGTAGAAGACACGCTACTTAGTGATATTACATAACATACCTGAATGAAGCTTCATCAAACCAGTTTGAGTTTTTTAACAATTAGAAAGTGAACACAAAAAACTCTGAATACAGGGGTACCAATGGAAATCTATTTATAACTTAAATCTTTGAGGTACAAACCTGATTCTGGTTAATGATGCATAGTATATTGATGACAAACTGTATTAAAAAGGTAATGAATAGTTTACAACTTATGTAGCTGAGAAGAAAAGTCTCCATTTGACTTCTGCCATATATTTGCATTTTTTACCTATTATGTAAGGACCCGGTTCCTATTTGCAACATATTCTTGAAAGCTATAATATAAATGCACAGTTTTATAAAAATCTCTATCATTCAATACTTACACATGAGATACAAATGTGTAATAAACAAACATGCAGAAAGATGCTCCAACAGCTGAATGAATGAACAAATTCACAATTGCAATCTAACACTATCCCACCAAGAATTGCTGACAAGGGTACGATATTTAAAAAATAGCATGGCCCACAAACAATATGTAAAACACAGTAGAATGGAAAACATAAAAACATAAATCTCAGTTAGATTCTGTAAAATCTGAAAACATATGGCAAAATATATTATGAGAAACTATGATTTTGGTCCATGGATGGAACAATTATTGATAAAAAGAAATCCCCATTGATTTCATTATTTTGCTTCTTTCTAACCAAAAGCCAAGGTACCAATGACTGTCCCGTAAGTTAATGTATCAACTCTCAGACTCTTCAACAACAATAATTTATCTTGAGTCTAATAAATTTCAAAAGTCATGTGCCTACATCATAACATAACAAAATGCACTAATGGTAGGCCTTATATACATTAAGCATAACCTCACTTCTTACCTTTCTTATTTTTTCCTTCACCTTGATCACTGACTGTGTTACTGCTCTCTTTTAAAGCTTCTGCCCTACTATTGGTAGGGGCAGAGTCAGGAGACAGTGGGCTCCCTTCACCAACATACCACTTCATACAGTAGATCACATAATCATGGCCATGTAGCTGTGTCAGAACTTTTCCATCTGAAAGAATAAATATTCATACACTTAAACAATGCTTAATATTTCTTTAAAAATAAAAAATGCAGACAATCATCACTGCCAACCTACTCAACACTGCATTCCCTTGCTAAATACTGAAGATGTTTAAAGCAAAATGTTTCAAACTGATGGAGTTATATGGCAATGGAAAGACAATCAGTGGCTGGGTGATTAGACTAAGTAGACCAACAACTTATGTTTAAGATGTTAAAACCCTAAGTGGCTTAAAAAAAATAAAAATAAAAAAATAAAAAAATAAATAAAAAATAAATCATAAGGCATATAAAATCCCTGTGAATGTTAGGTTCGGGCTAAAAATTACAGTCGGTTCGATGTTCTTGGGTAGCTTGAGTCGGAAATCCCCCACAGCTATGGAATTTTCCACCTTGTAATATAGACCATACAGACACCTACCCAACCTGGAATTTCAGCCAAACCGGACAAGCTTTCCCTTCAATTAGTCTGGATTACAGGGAGTTTACAGCAGTACATAACTTTAGCTCAAAAGCTATTTCATGAACCCTGTATACATATATAATACAGAACTGTATATCAAGTTTTAAAAAATTCTAGCAATGTTGATGTTCTGTGTAAGTGACATTACACAAAATGCTCCTTAAAAAGTGAGATGAGTAGAGGAATGGGAAAAAAGAGATTAAGGGTGCAGCAGAAGAGGCAGGTGAGGGTATGGAGGACAGGGAAATGTATTCTAATGCTGTAAGTGCACTGGAAATTTCATCCTCAAAGCAAAGACAACAATGAAAGAAGCATGACTGAAATTTTGCATAAAAGAATTCTCATCATAGCCTTTAAAACTAGAATTCTTTATACATTCACGGGACACATTACCCATGAAATTACCTTTGAGAGAGACCAGCACAATATCCTTTGAAGCAGCAATAAGAGCCTGTGAAGGTTCATTTGGATTAATTTCAACTGAGGAGAGCTCCGAAAACTGATGGAGTGTATGGACTCGTGTGACACCATGCCTTGCCTGCCACACCACCACACGGCCACTGTTGCCAACAGTTACAACAACTTCTTCTCCTCCAATGCTTCCCCAACACAAGGCATTTACCAAGAGATTCTGAAACAAAGGAATGGGTAAGTAATGCAGCTGTATGATTTAATAGCTAACTCATAGAGCTAGATTTATATTCTAGGACTCTGAAATTCAATAATTTAGAAAGTAAAATATAAATTTATCTTATGAAAAACATAAGAATCTTTAACAAAACTGAGTGATGATTGACTAATTGATTTAGTAAATATAAACACTGTACTCGTGTTTTACAATGGCAGACAAGATCGACGGACAAAAATGAAAGCTAGAAGCATGGAAGAGTCGAGTGTCAAGAGATTGTTATGACATGTTTCACCAATTAGCAGCAGTCATCGCCGATCAGGCAAAGACCTTAATGTTACTTCTCTACGAATTGTCATCAGAGAACACTTGACGAATTTGGCAGAACATTTTCAGCATTACTTTCCAGCAGAAGAAGATCCACGGAAAGGGAATGGATGGATCCGAAATCCGTTTATGTTATTGAGAGATGACTCAAGTGTCACTATGGAGGAAAAATTGTTGGAGCCGGCTGCTGACGAAGGATTGAAGATGAGTTTTTAAACACAACATAACTTGGTTCCTTTTGGATAAAAGTGAAAGCAGAATATCCTGAGCTTACTGAAATTGCTCTGAAAACTCTTCTCCCATTTCCTTCAACATACCTCTGCGAGACTGGCTTGTCAACCATGAGTGTTATTAAGACAAAGTACAGGAATAGTATGGATATTCATTCTCCATTGCACGTGGCACTGTCCTCAACTGAACCACGATTGGATAAGCTGACAAAGAAGAAGCAGCTCACCTTTCACATTAGTAAAGGTTAAGGTTTTAACATGCCTATTATTGTGTTAATAAAATAATCATCAATTTCATATTTTAATATTACGATATATTTTCAAAATTGTTATGTCTTCAATTTAATGTTGCCTATTCCTTTCAATCTTTGTTTTAACATCTTTATGCACTGGGGTTTAAAATAACTAAAATATAAAAAAAATGTTTAACCGACTTTATTCAATATAATTTTTCATTTTATTACTTATATATACATATGTTTATAATATCTTTGTTAGAAGGCTTTGCTAGTTTGATTTTTTAATATTTTTTATTTATATTGTAATACATATTGTAATATTTGTTTACAAAATAAATAAAAAATAAACAAATGTGTCAACTTTTATTATATTCATTATATTTCCGGCATAAATTAATATTACTTCGAATGTTCAAATAATATTTTCTCGGGTCGTAAACAAATAATAATATGGCACAAATATGGTACCGGTCCCTGGCACATTGGAATAAAACCTCTAGGTCCGCCACATCAGATAGTTTGAGAAGCATTGTTCTAGTGCAAATTATGTGATACTCAAAATAATCACCACCTTACAAGAATTCCAGCAATGTAAGTTATATTCTGCCAAGTCAATTCAGTGATATTTTATAAGCAAAAAACTTAAACTCCCTCTATATGACAGATAAATAAATAGGCACAAGGTAACCTTCGCAACCTTTACTGCCGGCTGTGTCAACACCTCACCCCCCTCGGCCCTACCCCCTCCTCCCAGCCAGGGTGAAGGTGGGTTTAGGCTCAAAGTTTTTATCTTATAAAATATAGCTGACTAGATTTAGCAGAATTTAACTTGCATTGCTGGAATCCTTGTAAGATAATGATTAATTTGAGTACAGTGATCCCTCGGTTAACAAGCATCTCGGTTAACGAGATTTCGGTTAACGATTTACCTTCCATACGATTCTTAACTTTAGTTAACGAGCAGTCCCCCAATTAACGAGTTTTTAATGAGAGCCCCTCCACATGTTTTCACTTGCATTTGGCGGTCCACCAGCTGTAGTATTAGTCCACCAATACAGTAATCTGTTCTAGGGCTTAAATTCCTTACTATTTTAGTAAATATCAAGAAGTTTGTACTATTCAATAATTTTAAAAGTTTTATATTAAATTTTTTAGTCATTTTAACAATTATTGAACATAATTGAAGTATAGGAAGCTAGTTTTTTGCGCGCCAAACAGCCTGTCAACACACCATACAGGCGTCAGTCTCTGTGTCTTTTCAGTGGAGGTAACATCTTGCTTGAGACTCTCTTCAACTAAATGCTTTTTTTCTGTTACCAAGCAAATTATTGGTCAATTTGAATTTTATTTTACATATTGACAATATATAATGCAGTGCAGTGTTGATTTAAAGAAATTAATCTTGAATTACACCAAGAGAATTAAAATTTTAATGGTGAAATGGTGCCCTGGGGTGACTTCTCTTCCACCCCAATGCCTTCTCTTCTCCCTTTCCTCCACCCCCATTCTAAATCCCATCATCATCAGCATGGCGTCAACGAATCTACGATTCGCACGATCAAGAAGGATGCAGCCAAGATCAAAGAGCACATGAAAATCACAAAGTCTGCAGGTGCTTCATCTATCAGGTATTGCCAGAACAGGGTGCTGGCAAAAGTGGAAAATTTGCTGGTGAATTATTTGATTCGTCAGGCGCGACGCAACATGGAGGTGGACACGCGCTCAGTGCAGGAGTACGCACGTGAGCTATACGCAGCAGTGTCACGTAAGCTGGGAATTGCAGAGGCCAAACCCTTCAATGCTTCCTCTGGTTGGCTGCATAGGTTTAAGAAGAGGAACAAGATCACCAACATCAACATTGGTGGTGAGGAAGCGAGTGCTGACCGTGTGGCGGCTAGAGATTATCCTCCGTTCTTACGTGAGATTATGGAGGAAGGACAGTACACTGACGACCAGGTGTTTAACATGGACGAATCTGGTCTTTTCTGGAAAAAGCTACCTTCCAAGACCTTCGTTGTCCAGTCTGCCAGCAAGGTAAGGGGTCGGAAGTTGCAGAAGGAACGCATCACCGTCCTGTTTACCACCAATGCCTCCGGTACCTGTAAACCAAAGTTATCGGTGATTCACACAGCCCGCAAGCCGCACGCCTACAAGAATATGGACATGAACAAGCTTAATGTCCACTGGCTAACCGCACGTAAGGCGTGGATGTCCTCTTCTCTGTCCCTCTTCTGGTTTGACAACTGTTTTGTTCCTGACGTGAAGAAATTCTGCGAGCAACAGAATGTTTCATTCAATATTTTGTTGCTCCTTGACAACGCACCTGGACACTCGCCCCTACTTATGGATCGTCACCCCAACGTAAAAGTGGTCTTCCTTCCTCCCAACACTACGTCATTAATCCAGCCCATGGACCAGGAGTTGATCTGCAATGTGAAAGCTGCGTACTCTGCAAAGAAGTTCAAGCTCCTGAACGACTCTACCAACACCAAGGATGAGTTGCGTATGCTGGGTGACACCGACAGCGAGAGCAAAAGCGACGAGGACAAGGAACAAGAGGTGGCGGCTCAAGAACTTCTCGTCAAACAATTTTGGAAGAAGTTTAACGTTAAACAAGCTGTAGACTTCTTGGTGGAGGCATGGGATCTGCTGACTATTGCTACGATTCGTCACGCATGGAGACATGTGTTGCATGGCATACCAGGTGAGAGGAGGAGTGAACCTGTGACTGGTGAGGTTCAGACTGTTGCAGTAGCAGTGGACCTTGCCAGAGAAGCTGCGCTCAATATTACAGCTGAAGGCTTCTCCGAGACCACCAATGAAGACATCCTGGAGGTGATCAGAGATCCTGAAGTGACTGCCGACGAGATGTTGGAAGAAGAACACGCCAGTGAAGAGGAGGAAGAAGGTGCGTCATTCTCCGAAGAACCTAGTTTAAGTCATAGTGATATTAAGTGTGCCATAGAGTTTGCAGAGAAAATGAAGTCCGTCCTTTCCCGCGACAATGACGATGACCGCTATGAAGTCTTCCATACCCGGCTGGTGCAGGCTATGGAGCCGTACATCACGGTGTACCAAGACAACATAAACACCAGCCGTCAAAAAAGCATAACCGAGTTCTTCGCCCGCAACCCACCACAGCCAGCCCAAGCCAGTGATAGTGACAGTGAAGTTGACTTTGAGGGATTTGTCAGGGAAGCCCTGACAACTGTAAGTGACAGTGATGGTGATTCACCTAGTAATGGTGATTCACCTGAGGGCCAGTAATCTGCCCTCTGCCTCGGAACCAGCCTCCATCCCCGTATGCCGACCCATCTCTTCTACTACCGTAAGTGTTCCACCTAACTTTTAGTTTCTCTAACCTAACCTTTATTTTTCCTATGTTAACCTTTATTTTTCCTAACCTAACCTCTTCTATATTACTTGTTTTTTCATACCATCATAAAGTTAAGATAAAATTTTTACTCCAACATAGTTATGTGTCGTCAAGAAGTGGAGTTTGGGGGTCGGGCTGGTTTCTATTGGAATTAATCCCATATGTTCTGTTGTTCACTTAACGCGGATTTCACTTAACACGGTACCCTCTGGGTTTTATTGACCGCGTTAAGTGGGGTACAACTGTATAACCCTCACACTGCTCTTGTTTAATGTCCTCTTTTTCTGCTTACCAAGGAAATAATTTTATCAAACTAGTGACTACTAACCCCTTCACTGCAGAGATGCCACTTTAAATTTCCTACAGTGGAGTATGCTATAACGAATGGATTCTATTACGAATATTCCTATAACGAACGGTTTTACCTATAAAATTGAGAATGCTATAACGAACGAAACTCCTACAACAAATTTTTTTTTCTTTTGTTTTTTTTACTAATTTATTATTTTTTTATTACAAGTATTAATTATATTCTTTATTTCAGGGGTTTAGATGCATATTTATGCACTTTTTTACAATTTTTTTCAATTTTATATTATATTTTTCAGTGTTAAGTGGTTGTATTTGGGAGCCTGGAACGGATTAATCCTATAACGAACGAATGCTATAACGAACAAGGTTCTAGAACCAATTAGATTCGTTATAGCATACCCCACTGTATTTGGTTAACACCAGATGATTTTATTCAGTTCAGAGAGTCTCCTGTACACAAGGAGCTAACTTTAATAATAGGTCTTTGACAATCAATATAACTTCATATAATAAATATTTAGTTTCAGTCAAATCCCACCTGATGTTCAAGATGTTGTGCGATGATACTGCCAGTATGTAGATTATACAGTCTAACACTTGATGAGTCAGTAATACTTGCAACTGTGTGTCCATAATCTGGCTCAGACACTTGGCGATGTAATCGAACAGACAAGACTTTGTCACTGAGTGGAATCACCTGAAATATGTAAATCATTAGCTAAGCACAAAATAGTAAACTATACTAAGAGCCACAACATCTGATAATGTAGTCTTATTTATGTTAATTTATCTTTTATAAAATTCATCTTCTTAACCAGAAAGCTCCTCACCACATACAGCCTTCTATTTCCTGCACTGCTCTTCATCCATATGTAACCTGGAGAAAAACTCCTTGCTGGGAAAAAAACTAAATCTTTACCTAAGCATTGACTCTGGGAAAGCAAAAGGAATACAAGTTTCAATTTAATTTCTGTAAGAAAAGGACATCAGTAATTACCTTCACCACCTTAGGTAATCTCTTCTCTTCAACCATATGATACACCACAATGGTCTTGAAAGCTGCTGTTACCAGCAAGCCATCTTCAGAGCGACTGTCCACAGCATCACTGATGAACCAGTTGGGTGATGGTGGAAGAAGAATATCACCTAACTGTAAAAATTTGAAACCTATTAATACTATACTGGTACAGTACAGGGGGGCCCCCCAAATTTACAGGGGTTAGGTTCTCAAAATGGCTGCAGATAACATTTGCGGACGGGATGGGGGGTTACATTTTTACTTGTGTACTACAAAGAAATGTATACTGTATTCCATTTATGTGTTTGCCCTAAGGACAATTATTTCTTTTACCTGTAGTAATGCACAGTATATATGTGTGTGTGTGTGTCTACACACATACACATATACACACACACACACACACAAAACACCTAAAAATAAATAATAATGGGAAAATACTCTCACAAATGATCAGAAGATTTTTATTAAAAATGTGAGTCTACCCTCAAGTTTGTGCTCTATTAATAAAGTAATAGAGCACAGACTTGAGGGTAGACAGTCACATTGTTAATAAATTTGTTTCTGATCATTTGTGAGTATTTTCCCATTATTATTTATTTGTATGTGTTTTGTGTGTGTGAATTGGGTTGTTAAGTTAAGTTTTGGATAGGTTGGTTTGATTTGTTTTTTTAAGTTAGATTAGGTTGGTGTTTGTAACACTGCTGCAATTTTCTATGGAATGATGGGACATTTGTAACACTGCCGCCAGCTACTAAGAACAGTAAAAAAAAAAAACGCTTTTATCCAAGAAATTCGTAAAAATAAGTTAAATTGCTGTTTTACATGTTTTAACCCTACTCACTTTTGGGGGTATTAATTTTGAAAGGAAAAGGGGACAATAGCTCAAAAATGAAGCACTTACACAAAACAAGACAAAAAACACCTTTTAAAAAAACATGTGTCTTTACTGGGTTAAGGAGCTGATATTTTCTATATATTCATCAAGTTTTAGATGATAACAGAGGTTCTGCACACTATGTTCCATGCTACATTAACCACAAAAACAGCAGGAGACACTAACAACTTGGGTTTTAGTGTAATCCATATTTATGCCTGGCAATTCATTTTGGCACAAGGAACCCAACACTCAAATTTCAATTGATACAGTCAAAGTGAAAATAAGTAAAAGAAAAAGATAGCTGAGAATGTTGTTTGGTGGTTCTCTAACACATGCACCATAAAATTATTGCCACTCAAGTCAATTCATATATTGTATCTGGGTCAATTAAGTGCACTTTTATACGGTATATCTAATAAAGGAAATATTTTCAAGACCTCTACAGGCATATTATATTGCATAATCTATGTAATCCTAACTACCTACCCACAAAAGAATGGGCAGTAAATCATTTACCGAAAAAAACAACAACAGTAAATGAAAAAATGTCTTAGTAAAGGTGGTGATAAAGATGTAAAAAAACAATCTTAAAAGAAACATTTGCAACAATGTGGGTAATTTTTTATTAACTCAAAGTGTTCAAACCCTGCTTAGTAAGCTACGAGGGTTCTTGGAAGCCATACATAATGCTCAGTTCCTACTCTGTAAATGTAGTTTGGCAATAGTAAGGACATCTAAAAGTAAAACATCCTTCGAATTTGCCTGATAGCAATCAGGAGACTATGCCACAAGGTAATCATGCCTAATGTGCGCAAGTGAGGAAAATGGCCACAAAACGGTGATGATGGAAGGAAGGTCATATAGGTCGTGGATCCTTTATCCCAAATTCTCAAAATTGATAAGGCCCAATACAGCAACTGTAAACTTATTTAACTAACACTTACCATTTTGTCAATAACTTAGGATTGAGAAAAGCTGTATGAGTAAATACAGTTTCAACAAGTAAATTCTGGTTGTGAGGAAACAGCACATTTTACCAGATATGCTATACAGTACAGTGCAATCACATAATGGGTACAAGACAAACCCACAACTACAAGAGAGACTCCAATAAAATACATAATAATGGCAATTAGTCACATAGACAAATGCAGGCTGAATTTGCAGAGCGGCCGGCTGGGCCAGACAGCAGACCGAGTTGCCACTGTCTCCATGCATCTTAAGCTGTAACATACAAACTTCTGTGTTTACTTTAATCACTGCAAAGTTTTTAGCTATAACATCAAATCACACTTGAAGAAAATCAAGTTTACTGTCCTACTATATATCAAAACTACTAAACCAGCAACAACTGAGAGACAAGAAGTGAGAGTTAATTAGTGAAAGAATGTCATTTAACATCTAGTGATATGACAGTAAATCAAACCAAATATAACCAAAACCCAAAGTACCTGCACAGTAGGCTCACCACCTTCGTGGAATATAGATTTGAGATTCACCACTTTCGAAGGGCATTGTGGGTCTGACGTCACAGCATCGGAGCATTGGCAACAGCCCTTGTTTACATCGGCAAAGGCAATTCTTATGTAACCAACTGTGTGTCGCTCTTAAAGTGCAGGAAGAGTGACGCCGCTTTGAGTGGTGGCACAGGGGTGGAATGTAAGGTGATCAAACTCACAAACTCAATGCTGAATCAAGGAATTAGGAATTACGGTATATACAGTATATACATGTACAGTACTTTTAATTCTATAAAATGTTACATATTTTGAGTTTAGACAGATAGATTTATGGAATTAAATTGTTAGAGATTTTTCATATTGGGTAACATATTTTGTTTAGGGGTGTTAGTGGTACAGCGGTAACGCACGTAACTCTCACCAATATGTTAAGGGTTTGAGCCTCGGCCCGAACACTCGTGAGAAGGGTGTTACCCAGTGTGACCCTACCAAACGTCACAGGTTTCCCGGTTCCAAAATGTCGATTATTATTACAGTATAGAAATATATTATGAAAAAAATTAAGATGAAGGAATTATAGGAATATAATATGAATTATATTAAGCTACTGTACAAAACTACGTTTGGGTGTGTAGCCCGGGAGAGGAGTATGCAATTTCACCAAAATTCCCATATTATTTGGATTCATTTAGTGCCGGGTTAATAAAACATTCTCGAAAAACAATCCATTTTACCCCCAAAAAATCCCACACACATTCCCAGATGAGCTATTGCACAAAAGATTATTTCAGGTCTCTTATTTACAGAGCAGTGACATCTGATCATTCATGACATTCCTAACAATGTTGACAGCACTCATGATCTCTCAAGCACTGTTGATGATACTGCTGAAGATTCTGTCAAGGTTGTGTAAGTAAACTTAACAATAAATGTAAAAATATATCCAGACTTTCAGGCAGAGTTTGGGTGCTTTATTGGGGAAATGTGGGGGGATGGAAGTGGTTTCGGCAGATACCAATTGACCCTTTAACATGTAAACTATGCTCATCACTTTTGCGGTACTTTTCCCAGTGTGAGATAGGCGTGAAAGTGGTGAGCCTACTGTACTGAAGAGAACCTGAGCAAAATCATTTTTTATGTAAAATATTTTTAAACGTAGAAGGTGGAAGTGATGGTGTAAGTATAAAAATTGAATCAGTCAGATTTAATGTCTGGATCCAAACCTATATAAGCTAGCCCAGGTTAAAACTATTGTAATGTACAGTAAGTAAGCCTAGGCATCCAAAAACTGAAATTACCTGTATCAGAAATCTGAAATGCAATTGGCCCTAAGGTTTTTGGATCCTTGAACTGTAGTGCTGGACTTGTACTGTACTGTACTATATACTGCACAGTATATATTGTACTGTACAGTAATTATGAATGACTCTAGCCATACTGCACTGATAAGACTGAATTTCACAAAACATAATATGCCAATAACATATGAGAGGATAAGAAAAATATTTGCTGAACAATAAGAACAATATAAATACTGTACTGTATTAAACACACAGAACAAGAAATTTCTTGATACAAAATTAGGTTAGTTATACTGTGGTAAGCTATTACCATAATAAAGAACACCAGAAGAGCCAGCCTGCACCACCCTATTTTAATTGCCAGGAGGAGTAACAGTACAGTAGTATTAAACATACAAATACTATACTGTTTATAAATATATACTTGTACTGTACACACATGATCCACATACCTCCAGTTTAATGTCGTCATCAGAGCATTGGCTTATTGGTAGCTTACCAAAATTTAAAAATTCTGTCCTCTCCCAATAATGGTCTTTATCCTCAAATTTATCCATTAACTTTTTTCTGATAGCTAGCAACAAGACAGTAGCACTTGCTGTAAGCTATTTTACTTTAAGTATATTGTACAAATACTCAGAATCTATTAACAAAAACAGCATATTCATAAATTATAATAAACTGAAAAATGCTTATTAGTTTAAGAATTAGTAGCTTAGATGCACAGATCCAATAAGAGAGAACAGCACTGTGTGATGTGTCTCTGTTAACTGTTGAAATTGACTGGTTCTCTCCTCCATGTGGTGGACACTGGACACAGCTCACAGCTGAGTCAGCAGGCTGTGATGAGATGTGCCTGGTTGCTAGCTGTAAGTTGCCATTTCCCTTACCAGTGGCTTAAAATTATTTTTAAATCTTCAGCTGTTTCCTCTCTTGATTACCTGTACAACCAACTACTGTACAGCCACATCTTGACACTCCTGAAGTATTAATTTAATCTCCATACCTATACTAATACAATACTGTATTTTCTACTCTTTCTCTGCAGTGTGTGCATGTGTGTGTGTGTGTGTGTGTGTGCATGTGTGTGTGTGCATGTGTGTGTTTGTGTGTGTGTAAGAAAATAAATCTCACTTCATTTAACCTTGATGTTGGTGGGGTTAGACACAACAACAGATAACTCTTGAGGACTGAGTCAGGATCTGACTTAACCTCACATAGCATCAAAATTCATTATTGTACATGACAGTGTACAGATTCATTCATGCCATTATCTTCCAATTTCCATTTTATTTAACTCATATTGATTAAATATCTGGACAGTATTACCCTTCAGTAGTGTCCTAACAACTTGGAAAACAAAGTATTTGGTCTATAAGACAAGTTTCAACTTCAAGATTAACATAAATATAAATACAAAAGCATTCTCAGTAGAAACAGTACTGATAGTCTTTGCAAATGACATTGGCTTGTTTCACAAGTAAGCAACTTTTAATTCAAGGGATCCATATCATTTTCCCACAGGAAATAACCAATAGTATTTGCTTTGCTGGATAAAACAATAAAACTTATTTTATATCATTTTATGACAACACATACTTTATCATAACCTAAATGAGTTTCAATAGGATTATTCAAGTTAAGCTATACTGTATATAAGTTAGATTAGGTTATTTTTTCTGGAGAAGCAATTGTGCATATTTCATATTTCCAGGTAGAGGATGTGTTCTAGGATAGCCATCCTCTTTTTAGATCCCTGCCAATGAGGTGAACACTTTTCTAAGTGTGTCTGAGACTATAATTATAGGTAATTCACATGGGGCCAGAGTGCTTCTCTGTTAAGAACATAAGAATGGAAGAAACTGCAGGGGGCCTATTAGCCCATACTGGGCAGTCCCATTTAAACACAAACCATATTGCTCATATATCCAATTAACCAACCAGAGGACACTTAACCGGTCACGACAAATTATATTATCCACTGCGTTACTTTTTTTTCCAAACCTTAATCGGTTGCGAGTATTTGCAAAATAATTACCAAACATTCTACTATACACCATAAGTCTTACTACTATTTTGCATAAGAATAAAAATAAAATATTTCTCAACAATAAACAAACAAGATTCTGTGCAGCCAATAAATAGTTTACCATGACTGTTGCCGCCACACGGAGCTGTGTTTGTCAACAAAGTAGGAGCAAGGAGCTGTACACTACACGAACGACTGGCTGGTGCAGGACAGGTAAGTCACTACACGAACGACTTGCTGGTGCAGGACAGGTAAGTCACTACACGAACGACTTGCTGGTGCAGGACAGGTAAGTCACTACACGAACGACTTGCTGGTGCAGGACAGGTAAGTCACTACACGAACGACTTGCTGGTGCAGGACAGGTAAGTCACTACACGAACGACTTGCTGGTGCAGGACAGGTAAGTCACTACACGAACGTCTTTTCGGTAAACTGAATTCTTCAGCGTTACGAGATTGAAACATTTTTGTTTTATAATTTTCGACAATTATCAGCCGCCATCAAATTATAACCCTATTTTAATACCGTTGTGAAGTTTTACAAACGTTTTGTTAAGATATACTTTTCGGTGGTGGAGTTTAGGGTAATTAGTTTTTGATAGACAGGGGGGTAGTAGGCCTGTGGGGGTGTAGTGGATTTCTCCCCTACAAACGCTGTTTGTCGCTGAGTAGCCGACCCCGCGAATTCCCCTGTGTATGCCTCGTGGTCTAGGTCAACCAGCGCCGCCCACGGAGCGGGGGTCATCTACTAAGCCACGCCTACCCCCCACTATTTAAGACCTGACCTCGTGGTGATCGCTCAAGACCAAGACATTTCCTCCACACAAGAAAACAACACACACAATCAAGCCGACCAAGCACTGAGAATCCATGGCCCAACCCAACACGCACCTGACGCTAGCCTGGCTCTGTCCTGTCGCCTCCCTGCCGCGTCCAGGCGAGTTGCTGCTGCCTCCATCTTATACTCCCTCACGCAAGCGGTGTTTAGCCACTGCATCTATTCTCTCCTCCTAAAATTCACTTCAATCCTCCCTTTATTCTTCCCCTGAACCTCCTTCCCCCCTGTCACTAGCATTTTTCGATTCGATTCGTGATCGCTCTTTCTACCTACACCAACCAGCAAGCAACACCTCCTCCTCCTCCTCCTGCCTGGCGGCCCTCGCTCCCGCCGGCGAGCATGGCGACCCACAAGCTGTCCTCCTCTGAGCACCCTCACCAACCAGCTCTCTCTACATCACGCTTGTAACCATGCTGCCTTCCCAGCACCAAGCTGCATTGTACATCCAATACAACATGTATACAGAGAGCACATTGTGAGTTTCCTTTCTCCAACCCATCCTGAGTGAACACCAAACATCTCATACCCTACAAGGCGAGTCCTGGGATTAGAGCCTTGTGCTACTACTCTGAGAAACTTTTTCCATTCAGAATGTACGAGTATGCCATTTATTACCACTCTTCGTTGCTTGTCTTCGAGCCCAATCGTTAATCTACGTAAAAATCTTGCCTGTGATGCCATGTTCCTTGATCTTAGAGGCTATAGTCGTGCATGTGGAACTTTGTCAAACGCCTTGAAGAAATCCATGTATAACTGATGAGCCTTGGTCTACATATTCTGTAACCGTTTCAAGGAACGTGAATAAGTTCGTCAGACAGGATTTTCTTTCCATGAAACTTGTGTTGTGATGCGTTGCTAAGACTGTGTTCGGTCAGGTGCTGGATAATGGCGTACTTCAGAATTTTCTCCGAGTTTGCATATATGTGATGTTAGGCTGATCACTAACTGCTGTGACGTCATCACTAACTGCTGTGACGTCATCACCAATTGCTATTACGTCATTAACAATGACTCACGTCATCACCAACGGCTGTTACGTCATCAACTGCTGTGATGTCATCACCAACAACTGTGACGTCGTCACCAACTGATGTGACGTCATCACTAGGTTACAGTAGGTCAGGCCAGGTTACAGTAGGTCACGTCAGGTTACAGTAGGTCAGGTCTAGAGTAGGTTAGGTCAGGTCAGGTTAGAGTGGATCAGGTCAGGTTAGAGTAAGTCAAGAAAGGTTAAAGATCAGATCAGGTTTGGTTAGAGTAGATCAGGTCAGATTATAGTAGATCAGGTTAGCTTTGGTTAAGTTAGGTTAGGTTAGATTGGGATTCGTTTGACCTTCATTTGGCACAAACACCACCAGGGATTTTCACCTAAGAAAAATAATAAAAGTTTAATCAAGATTCTTCAAACAGCAGAACCTGGGAGTTAAATCAGCGAAGAGGGAAACACGGGTGGACCAGGGGGAGAGCAGGAGAGTGGGGGAAGGAGAGGGATTAGGGGAGAGTGATAAGTAGAGAGAGAAGGGGAGGGGGAAGCAGAGCCGTTCCTAGGCGGGTGCGGGGCCCAGACATATACAGTATAAAAAACAGTAGCATTGCAATCGTGAAATCTAAACAAAAATATCCAGCTTTATTTTAATAATTACAAAATTAAAGTAATGGTTATAGGTAGGAATTTTACAGTATTGTAAAAAAAAAATCTGCGACCCCTAGACCGTATGTGATAACTGTGTTCTATAAGCTCTGAAAATACACAAGAAAAATAAAACATTTTAAATTGATTTGTAACATACACAAAACAAATGCCAAAACACAGTCTGGATTTAATGAAAAATTTAATAGTATCAAATAATAACTTAAGAACAAATTTAATCTGCTATAACTTCTCATAAAGCATTTGCAAATTAACAGAAGCAGCCTACTTTCAAAATTAACCTTCCCTGCTTTTTTTTCAGCAAACTCTTCTATCAGTTCATGATAGCACAAACTTGCTGCCAGTTCCTTTTCGATGGAGAGTATAGTCAGTCCACTCAACCAGTCCTTAGACAGCTTTATATGAATTTGAGTTTAGTAAAACTTCACTCCCCTGATTTACTTTTATCCTCTTCACCACTGATCGGCTCGTTAGCCGCTTGGGCGATCGGTCGTCACTGTGACTGCCAACAAAATCTTGTATGTTATTTCTGCATTATAGAAGGAACCATTAAGAGATTTTAGAAACTTTAAGACTTGAAGTACATTTTTTTTCTTCTATGGGAATGAGTTCTCGGAGTACTCGAAGCTTTGAAAACAACTCGGCTTCTTCAAAATCGTGAGAATTTCCAATTGTCACTTGTCCAAAGCAGAGTTGTGCTCAGCTAGGTACTGCACAGCTGCTGTAATATGTGTTAGAACTGATCGCCAACCTTCCTTCTCTTCATTCAAGCCCTGTAACATGTGTGTGTATCTATGGTATTAATTGTGTGCTGACCTCGCTAGAGGAAAGGCAATAGCCGTTTTAGCTCCCGGGAATTAACTATCAGTGCAATGGCTAGTGTTAGTTGTGAACAGGCCTGTGCCAGATTTACAGATTGCCCCGGAGGGGGCTAGTTTATTGGGCACCCCCTTACATTCTGTGCAAGGTGAAGCGCAGAAGCGTTTACAGTGCCCAACTGGGAAGCATGCGGAGTTCATGCTTGCCTTTATGACTCATGCATTAAGGGCGTG